GTAGACTTTGATTCAACAATAAAGATAAACATGCTTATTACAAATCTTCTAATGTGCAGTTTATTTACGTAATGTGAAAGATTAGCTGCGACAAGTGATTATTATAAATATTACACAGAAGAAGGCTGTGTAAAAGGGATCAAAAGGTAACAAATACAGCCTGTTCGATATTCCGTTTATTTCTAAAGGCTCGTAATAGATAGAAAAACAGTCCAGGTCAATACAAAATTGAGAGGATGATGAGAAACAAACGCCAAGTAGCTGGAGCTAGCAGAACAATTGAGAAAAGTGAGTCATTGGGAAAGAGGGCACCCTCCAGAAACACTTCCCTCTCCCTCTGCCAGCTAAAATAATCTTCCGCACCCTGGATGTATCTTTTGTCTCTGCTCTCTCCATCTTGTGTTATGTGGCAGGGGACAGCGGCATCAGGAGGATGCACCACCAGCTTTAATCTATGCTGTGGGAAGGCCCTTGTGTCTTGCCCTGTCAACCGCAAATCACTGGAACAATGCCGGGTAAGTACTATTGTAATCAAAATTATTCAACTCCCAGGTTTATTAGGTTTATTGTCAAAATTTAGACTGTCAACCGTTTCATTGAACAAATGAACAAACGTTATTTAAATAGCTCAACACAATGAATTTTTCAAGTGTTTTACCAAAATTTAACTAAAAATGCAACTTATAATGACTTCTCCTGTCTCAAGATTATTCAACCCCCTGAGTAGAATCCCTCACAACAGCACAAATATGGAAAACAGGTGTTGTCAATGGCTTCATTTGTTGCACCAGGTGTGCTTGAACTGGAATACTTGAAATACCTGAACTGGTTAGGGGTTTGTTGAGTGTCACGTTTAACTGCATGTTAGAAATATGGCTAAATCAAAAGAATAGTCCACAAAGTTAAGAGAAGAAATTATCACCCTTCACAAACAAAGCACAGGATACAAAAAGATAGTAAAGGCACTGCATGTTCTTAGAGACACTGTTGGAAGCATACTGCGCAAGTTCAAAGTTGAAGGAACAGCGGTTACACTACCTGGACAGGTCAGAAATAGAAAGCTATCAATGACTGCAACCAGATTTCTGAGAAGAAAGGTTGTGAAAAACTCTTGAGTGACTTCAAAAGACCTACAACAAGACTTGGTGAGCACAGTAAGATGCGTACTAAATGCAGAAGGTTTACATGCCAGAACTCCAAGACGTACACCACTACTGACCCAATTATCGGCTACAATATGCTCACAATGCTATAAATAAGCAACAGAAGTTTGGGGATTTTGTTCTGTGGAGCAATGAAACAAAACTGGAACTTTTCGGCCCAAGAGATCAACGGTATGTCTGATTGAAGAAGAATGAAGCATATGCTGGAAAGAACACTCTGCCTACACTTAAGCATGGTGATGCTTTGCATCCTCTGGTACCGGAAACCTGCAGCATGTGGAAAGCAAGATTAGTTCACTGAAGTATCAGAAAGTCCTATGAGACAACGTCATGCCGTTTGTGAGGAAGCTGAAGCTTGGGAGTCATTGGACCTTCCAAGAAGACAATGATCCCAAGCATACCTCAAATTCCACCGTGGCTTGGTTGCAGAAGAAGTCCTGGAAAACTCTACAGTGGCCATCACCTGACTTGAACTCCATAGAAAATCACTGGTGGGATTTGAAGAAGATTCTTGCATCACGCAAACCCAAGAATATTACTGAACCGGAGGGCATTGCTCATGAGCAATGGGCTAAGATTCCTCAGGAACGCTGCCAGAAGCAGGTGTCTGGCTATGCATCTCATTTGCAGGAGGTCATAACAGCAAGAGGATCCTCTAAGAACTAAAGATGCTTGCCATGAAGGGGTTGAATAATTTTGAGACTGGAGAAGTCATTATAAGTTGCATTTTCAGTTGAATTTGGGGAACCCACTTGAAGCATTCATTATGTTGCGCTATTTCAAATGCTTCTGTTTGATTTGCTCATTGCCAACAGCTGAAAATCTGTACATTTTGACAATAAACCTGATTTTCAATGGGGTTGAATAATTTTGATTACAACTGTGACACCTAGGGAGTGCTGTGAGTAAATTAATAACTAACAACCACTAACCATTTTATTCTGGAGAGGAACAGATCGGTCAGTGACCAGGCTTTGTGAGCCTTTATGTAAAGAGCATGGCACCCAGGTAAACCACACTTCCAATCTCATCTCCTTAATTGAAACACCCCACTCCAAATAACGGGTAAATTACATCAACACAGAGCTTCTCTTACGTTTTCCAACCTGCACTGTGAATCATTACTCAGTGTCTTCAATAAATTTAATAAGTACGTCTGTTTGTGCGTTATTAGTTCAGTCAGATTGTGGTTTTCTATAATTGCGATTTAGGTAAAGTTTAGGACACAGTTTCCGAGGAATCAATGCAGAAATCCGAGTAACTCTAAAGTGGTCTCAAACCATTTCTTGCAGCTGTTCCTAAAAACATGCCTCTCGCTACCTCAATATCCAAGCATAGTCTGATAACATCCTCTCTTATTGGGTTCCTTTCATACTATGAAATGAATCCTCAAACTACTCAGTACACAAGGAAACGTGGTTTAACAAAACTTTGAAGCTGTAACTACAGATGAATTATATTGACAGGTGTCAGTGCACCTGTTTGAGCACTAGTACATATTGATGTCTTTATATCAGAATATGGTTGACACAGAATATACTAACAGCCACTAAGAGAGATGGCAGTGTGACCACGAAGCCCTAGTATCCAAGGCTTAATAGCAGCATTTTTATTGTGGAGTGGCAAGTGCAAAGTGCAATCAACACAGACTCTTGGCTGCACAAATGAGGCCTACAATAGAACTCTATTATACAGCTGGAATATTATCCCAAATTGTGGACTGGTCACTATTCTCTATCCATACACACTGGCAGAGTTGTTCACTAAAGTGAGAATTGACTAATTCAGCATGAAATAAAAGTGACTTTCAAAATATAGGAAAAATTAGTCAAATTAGAAAAATTCTCCATAACGAAACACTGCGCATTCAGACTCCAGGCACCATGACCATCTTAAACCACTTCATGACTTCCTGAACTGGTCATGTTGCTTTAAGTAACCCCTTAATCAACTCACATAGATCTTTACATGTTTTGTTTTTCACACTATGAATGTTCTTGGATAAATTCACTCTTTGTCAAATCTCTCACTTCCTTAAACGATCACAGAAACTTAATTTTTTATGAAATTTACCACCACACCTGGTTGCCCTCCATAAAATCTCTTGCAATAAATGAGCCCGTCTCCACCTAATTTTCCTTACTTAATTTCCTCCACTTGATAAGAGGACGGAACCTAAGGTGCCACTTGCTTTGTTAAGACAAAATTACCTGCCAATTGTGTCCCTTGGGCTAACATCTCGCTAGTCTCCCATGACCATTGGAGTAGAGGGGCAAGTGGACATGTGAGAAATCGACTTGTGTGGAGGAGGATGGGCAGATTAAGGGAGAGATAAGGGAGAGATGCGACGGGGAAGATACTGGCAGCTTTGAAGAGGATCTTGCACTGAAATAAGTTGGAGGAAAAGAGAAGGTGAAATGGTGGGACCAGTTCCACAAAAAACACATTGGGAGCACTGACACCACAGGGGGTTGCTGTCAGAGTCTGTGACAGACCTGCTTAAAGTCATCAGAAAAAAGAGAAAGACAGATCTGCTTCAAGTAATCAGAGACAGTGACTGTACGTCCACATGATGGCATATGGGTTCTGGATCAAACCCAAGCTTGGATGTTAAAGGGGAAAACAGAAAATGCTTTTACAACGTAATGGCATAATGTAGGTGCCTATGAACACATGAGGGTTATTCACAAAACATTGACCAAGAAATTACAAAATGTATGTCCAAATAGCCAAACTGAAAAAATAGCTGTGTTGGAGAAATGTTACAGGAGGGCTATTTAGGCTTAAAATTTGAAATTTCTTTGACAGTAATTAAAATTCCCAGCTTTATGAATGATCCTGTTAGATATAAATAAATATTGTATTTTCATTGATAAATACATAAAAAATATAATAGAGATTTAACTATTCCATCAGTGATATTCTTGAACTGGAACTGTTTTGTGTACAGTAACATTAATCTTTGCAAATTGTTGAGCATGGTGATAATAAGTGGGGGTAATACTGAATGCATGGGTTGAGCAGTTTCATTTGCCTCCACAGATGTTTCAACAAACCTGTCCTGGTAGAGATTTTTGGGAGGGAGGGGGGTAAAGTTCCAGTGTTTCACCATTGGTTTTTGGATGTTTCAAGTAAATATTTGCTTTAAAAAAATTCACATTGTGAAGTAAACAGAGGAAGTCGAATAGTGAGTGTCACCATATTTGGGAGGTGACATTTAGAGACACTGGACATTGCCCTGTTCCTGTTGAGCTTTCAAGCAGGCCAGTAAGGAACATCTTACATGCAGGTAAGGAATAATTTCGGTAGGAATTCTGGTTGAGTTCCAAGGAAATGGACTGATAGTGCTGTTTATTTTGTTGGTATTGGTGACACAAAATTCCTTCCCAAAACTTTTATTCCTCTCTCTTTGTCTCTCTCTTTATATATTAAGAAATGCTTTTTTTTCAGCATTGGGTGTGGGGAATTACTTTTCGGTTGATTACTGCTATTACAAGTGAGTCAGCCTCTTTTCACAATTGTTTTCTGGATTAAAATTCTCAGGTTCTTAAAACAGTTAATCCACTTGGCAATGAGTTTTATTGTAATACTGTTTGTGTATAGTTATGAATGTTAATATGTCGAATTTCCAGTTGCTTGAATTTCATTTATTCCTATTGTCTCACATGTTTTGTGTTGTAAAATATTTTATCTATTCCTGCGGTTACCTTGCAGATTGCGTAAACTGAAGTGCTCTCCGATCCCTTTTGTTGCTTCATGTTTTTTAGAAGCCCATTGCATCAGAAGAGTTTCAAAGTGTGTGTGCTTTTAGATGCTGTGCTTTTCTCTTTCAGAATCATGGACAAGTCTTTGCTGATCTGTCTCCTTTTATTTCCTGGGATATGCCTCTCCTCATTTGTAAGTTTCTTTTTTTTATATACAATCCTGCTGTTTGTACTGTCTACAAATTCTTAATCAATTTGTTCTAGATAACTCATGTTAACACTTTGCTTAGTGCAGTAATACCTAGCCTTTTTTTGATAGGGACCCGAATAATAAGCATCACCTGATCTTCACGACTTTTTAAAATGTTCTCACACATTCTTCAAATGTTATGTGATATTTAACACAACTAACTACGTAAAACTCTAGTATAGTATTAGCAGTGTCTCAGAGGAACTCCATTGCACTTATGAAGGCAAAGTAATATAAACTAATTTATTGTGAGCAGGTGCAGGTTGTGTCCTTATCAACATCAGACCAGGGATTATGAAACACTGCTGTATTGAATAACCTAAAAATATTGTAACCTAAAATTTTGTCAATATACACAGTGCTGGATTTAGAGCCTATTGGGGCTTGTGATGATGACTGTAATGGGTCTTATATAGAGAATCATATATTATTATTATTGTTATTATTATTGGCATTTATATAGGGTTAACTTATTCCGCAGCGCTTTACAATAGTGTAAAGGTGGAAATTTAACAATAAATTAGACAATTACAAAATGTTACTGAAAAAATAGGTTAATGAGGACCCTGCTCAAATGAGTTGGGTCCTAGGGTACCAGACTTAAATGCTCTAAAACAGTCATACATCTCAAGTGTCTAGTATCTGGTTTGAGTGCTGGAGGGATAGTCTCCCCTTTCTCTCTTATTATCTCTCAACCCATCTATCTGCCTGTCTTACAAGTGCCACAGTTCTGATCTCCTCTCTCTTCTATCACAAACTTGGAATCCTCTCTAATGAGGAGTTTCTTATCTGCTCCTCTCCTTCCCTTCTTACTAGAACGCAGACACTTGCTCCCGGAATGCAGGCTGAGACAGAGAAAGAGGTGGATGTAGTGTAGTGTGTAGAGTTTTTTTTTTTTTTTTAAATGAATAATGTCCCATAGGGCATTATTCTTTATGTCTTCCCTTCCTGATCGCTAGTTAGTTTTTAAAATAAGTATTACTTACCTGAAATCCAGCGCCAAGCAAAGGTCCCAGCGCTGCTTTCTACTCCCCCTGCTGATGTTGCGGCAGCTGACTCGAGGTCCAATCAAAGATTCCTCATAGAGAAGCCTTTGATTGGACCATTAAGCCAGCTCAGAGGTAATGTGTGTGCTTTGAGCAAGCAAGAGGAGGGGGAGAGGGAGGGAGGGAAAGGAGAGAAAAAGAGAGGGAGCCAAAATAAAGAATCAATAGATGGAATGGGGGGAGGGCCGCAGGCTGGAAGGGAGGGGACACTATATGAAATGGCTATAAAGGAGCGCATGTGTTTTCTCTGATTCAGCAGAGGCGAAGGAGAGAGAGGGAGAGGAAAGAGCCAAAAAATAATCAATAGATGGGATGGGGAGATGGTATGGCGGCATGCAGGGAGAGATGGGAACATAAGACTTCCCTTAATCACATTATGTCTGTTGCCAGCTTATAGTGCATGAGATGAGAGAATATGAGAACTGAGAATGGGCAAAAGCTTAGAGAAACTCGGTAGCTTTTCCTTCCACAATTCCTACTCGGGTTCTGTGCTGCTAATGTCATGTGTGCTGGGGATGCAACTAGCGCCCAGGACACAATGGCAAATTATTCTGTATTTGCAGTGCTTCAAGCTGAAACACTGCACATCCAGACTCCTACCACCATGACCACTTAAAAAAGCAGAAGCAGTCATGGTGGTTGGAGACCCTATAGCTATTTTACAGTCAACCAGTCCACACAAGTTTGTTCCCTTGCATCCCTCCTAAGTCCCCACACTCATTTCCCTCTGCATAACATTATAGAGCAAGGGCATAGTATGAATGAAAAAAAACAAAAAAACATTTTTAAGTATTAATGAACCTATTCCATAATCCTGGAACTGCAGCTTCATTAACCCATTAACTCATATATTAATCTGGCCCTGAAGAGAACAGCTAGGAGGCTGCTACCTCTTCTTTGACAATTACTGCTTTGCTTTTTGCGTATAGCCCTATAATTTCTGGTATTTGTTCATTATACTCCACCAGACAGGGAAAGTGTTTTCACTTTGAAACAAAACAAAGCCAAACAAATGAGGCCAATGTGTTGCCAATTAACAGGAATCCCGTGTTAGCGGAAGTATAATTGACAAGTTTTCAAATGTTAGAATTTAATCACCCTGACAAACATTTTTTTAAAATTCAAAATACACAGCACAATACTATTTAACATTTGTGAAATTGATTAGCTAGTGCTGTTTATTTAGAGCCTTTCCTTATATGAAAACAGCATGGTTTAACTTCTTTGTTAATTGACTGCTTTAGTTGTTTTGGTATTAAAATAAATAGTGTAAAATTGTGTTTGGTTATATTACTCAGCAGTTACCTGGTGACTTGAAAATACCATAGTAATACAAAAGACATAACAATCACAATAAGGAAAGAACGAAAAAGATAGATGACTTCTTATATGAGGTGTCTGTGTATTATGATAGCGCCTAACACTCAGGGATGGATTTCCCATTAGTCAGAATAGGCGCTGTCTGCAGACACATGTCTGATGGGGCCACGTTCTCTATCAGATATAGCCCTTTCCCTATCTCCTGCCCATTGTCTGCTATTTGCTGTCCAGAACAGATGTTCTAGGACTCTGCAATTACTTTATTCAGTCTGAAGGAGCCTGATCTGTGCATGGCCCCGCCCCTCAGACTGAACAAATCAATCTTTTTATGGCCCGGCCCTCTCAGACTGAACAAAGCAATCTGTGCATGGCCCCGCCTTCTCAGACTGAACAAAGCAATCTGTGCATGGCCCCGCCCCCTCAGACTGAACAAAGCAACCTGTGCATGGCCCCGCCCACTCAGACTGAACAAAGCAATCTGTGCATGGCCCCGCCCTCTCAGACTGAACAAAGCAATCTGTGCATGGCCCCACCCTCTCAGACTGAACAAAGCAATCTGTGCATGGCCCCGCCCCCTCAGACTGAACAAAGCAATCTGTGCATGGCCACGCCCCCTCAGACTGAACAAAGCAATCTGTGCATGGCCCCGCCCCCTCAGACTGAACAAAGCAATCTTTTCATGACCCCACCCTCTCAGACTTTTTTTACACAGTAATCTGTGAATGGCCCCGCCCCCTCAGACTGAACAAATCAATCTTTTCATGACCCCGCCCTCTCAGACTTTTTTACACAGTAATCTGTGAATGGCCCTGCCCCCTCAGACTAAATATAACAATTTCAGGATGGTGACGGGAGAGGACTGGCCAGGAGAAGGGCCAGAATGGCACACTCAGAAGTGACAGGTATACATTATTATTATTATTATTATTATTATTATTATTATTGCCATTTATATAGCGCAAACAGATTCCGTTGCACTTTACAATATTATGAGAGGGGAAATTTAACTATAAATAGGACAATTACAAGAAAACTTACAGGAACACTAGGTTGAGGAGGACCCTGCTCAAACGAGCTTACAGACTATAGGAGGTGGGGTGTAAAACACGTTAAGACAGGAAATAGCAATCAAACAAGGTGGAGTGAGGCAGAGCTAGTGGAGAGAGTAGAGTGCTGCCCTTTAGGAGAGAGCAAGAGACAGGTATGTAAGGTAGAGGTTACTCTGGGAGGCCATAATCTTTCCTAAAGAGGTGTGTTTTAAGGCCCTTCTTAAACGATTGAAGACTAGGGGAGAGTCTGATGGCGGTAGGCAGGCTATTCCATAGGAAGGGAGCCGCCCGCGTGAAGCCCTGCAAGCGTGAGTTGGCCTTACGGGTGCGAGCAGCGGACAGGAGAAGGTCATGGGCAAAGCGGAGAGACCGAGAAAGGGCATGGATCTGTGAAGAGATATAAGAGGGACTAAGGGGCTAAAATTGGTCAATGCTTTATAGGTGTGGTTTAGTACCTTGAACTGACTCCTATAGGATACAGGAAGCCAATGTAAGGACTGATAGAGGGGTGAGGTGTGAGAGGATCGACTAGAGAGGAAAATCAGTCTGGCGGCAGCATTCATTACAGACTATAGCGGAGCAGTACGGTTTTTGGGAAGACGAATTAGGAGAGGGTTACAAAAATCCACGCGGGAAATTACTAGAGCATGGACAAGCTCCTTAGTAGCATCTTGTATAAGAAAGGGGCAGATGCGGGCAATGTTTTTAAGATGGTATCTACAGGATTTGATAACATACTGGATGTGAGGCTCAAAGGTAAGGCCAGAATCAAATATGACGCCAAGACAGCGCGCTTGCAGGGATGGACTTGTGGGGATACCACTAACTTGAAGGGAGAGCGAATGAGGAGTATCAGTATTAGGAGGAGGAAAGACAAGGAGCTCAGTTTTAGAGAGATTGAGTTTCAGAAAGTAGGAGGATGTCCAAAGATGGAAGAAAGGCAAGAAGTGACACGTTGCAGGACGGCATGAGAGAGGTCCGGAGAGGAGAGGTATATCTGGGTGTCATCAGCGTACAGGTGGTAGTGGAATCCAAATGAGGTAATAAGTTTGCCAAGAGAGGCAGTATAAAGAGAAAATTGAAGGGGACCAAGGACAGAGCCTTGGGGGACTCAAAGCAAGACAGGACGAGGGAAGGAGGTATCATTAGAAGAGGAGACACTGAAAGAGCATTTGGAGAGAAAAGAGGAAATCCATGAGAGGACAGAGTCACAGAGACTGAGTAATTGAAGAGTTTGAAGAAGGAGAGCATGATCAACGGTGTCAAAGGCAGCAGAGAGGTCAAGAAGAATTAGTATGGAGCAGTGGCCTTTGGATTATATGTACGTGTATATATACTGCGTGTATGCACATACATATATACATATATATTTGTGTAAGGGGCAATTTAGCCGTATATGGAGTAGGTTCAAGTGAGAACGTAAGATAGTATAAACGAGCAAAGTCGGTTGTGGTGTGCCGATACCGACGATACGGTAGGTCTGTAAATAAAGAGGGCCCACCAAGAAGAAATAAAGTAAGATAGAATTGAAAAAAGAAAGTGTTGTAAAAGAGGAGTGGGTGGGAGGGTCATTCAGACGCTGACCTTGAACGGTGTGGAGTCAGGTAAGGGTTGTACCTTATATAGGGGAGTGAATTAATTCCAGCCCCTTCCACAAATACAGGCCAAACGGCCTTAACACTTCTGTAAGGGGCAATTTAGCCGTATATGGAGTAGGTTCAAGTGAGAACGTAAGATAGTATAAACGAGCAAAGTCAGTTGTGGTGTGCCGATACCGACGATACGGTAGGCCTGTAAATATAGAGGGCAAAAATTGAATAACCGAATATTTAATACAGTCAACAATTTCATACAATTATCCAGACATTTCTTTAAAAGCCTTCTTGTGTAGGTTTTGGTATGTAGGTTGTGTAGGCGGATGACTTCCACCGCCCTAATGACTTAATGATATGCACTGGTATGTTTGCGCTGGAAGCTGTGGAAGCCGCCCCTATGTGAAAGGAGTGACCTGAGTAGAGTGAACGGTTAAGACCTAGCCTGGTTAACAGAGATCTGATGTATCGCATGAAAGTCGTAGTAGTGAGTACAGAGCTTTTGAGTGAAAATAGGTGTAGCAATGGTGTTGATGAGGTAAGTGAAAGGTAGGAATCCAGCGTTGTTACTGGATGGTGTGTGTTGGCTTGTTTTTGACTGAGGTAGAGACAGTATGTAGTGATCCATGTGTTTGCGTAGGTGTGTGCGTAGAAGACATCTGTCTTTTTGAGTGGTGGTGATAGTAGTGAATTCCCTTGGCCTGAGGAACCCATAGAATGCTATGTACATGGCAGCTTTGATGACTGCGTTGGTAGTAGAGTGGAAAGGTTTGGAGTCTAATAGGTAGGATAATGACTGGAAAAGTGTGTTATCTATAGGTAATCTCTGTGGAAGAGGTGGAGGAACGGATTTCTGAATACCTCTAAGTATATTCTTTACCTGATAAGATGACATGAAACTATGTGTATTGGGTTGTAGAGTTACCATATGATGTTGAATGCCTGTCAGATATAATTTGATTGTGTTGTAAGATAAATGTAATGTAAGGTGGCAAAAAGAAGCAAAGGCTATAATAGATGTCATGACGAAAGGATGAGTTATGTCGTGGTCGGATAGGAATCTTGTGAAAAGTGTGAAGGCTCTGTTGTATGCTTTGTGAGTGTTGGATGATAGTGCAAGTTTGGACAGAACCCTGCTATGTTGCATGATTATTTCTAGTCCATGGTTAGCTGCTGGAACGGAGGGGCGGCTGTGGCTGTAAGTGCTGCTGACGGAAGTGCTTGCTGAAAAGCCTGAAAGTTGAAACGAGACAGACAGTCAGCTGCTATGTTAGTAATGCCTGGTATATAAAAGCAGACCAAGTAAAAATTGTGACATGCTGCTAACCACGTGAGCTTCCTGAGAAATCTCATAATTGTTAGGGATGATGAACGGCCTTTGTTAATGATGTGACATGTTGCTTGGTTGTCTGTGTGGCAACGGACTGATAAGCCTGACCATAAATGTCCCCATGCCATGGCAGCTGCTACAATGGGATAAATCTCAAAAAGAGCTGAGGTTGTAAAAAAGCCTTCTAAGTCATAGATTTCTTCAGGCCACTTACCCCAAAGCCATTTGTTCCCAAAGATTGCTGCGAAACCTGTGGTAGACGCTGCGTCTGACCGTATTGTTGGAGACGTGTCAGTCAACTCTGGTAGGAACAAGCTTTTACCATTCCAGGTGGTCAAGAATTCTTTCCACATATATAGGTCTGCCGTGGCATGCGCATCCAAGGATAGTCTATAGTTGTCGTGTTTGAAATGTGGAAAAAGACAGAGAAGTCTGGATATGAAAGCCCGCCCTTGAGGAATGATGCGCATGGCAAAGTTCAAAGAACCTATGAGGGATTGTAGTTCCTTGCGGTTGCAATTACCCAGCAAAATGTAATGGTTAATGATGTCAAGTATGTTTGTGATTTTCTCTTGTGGTAAACTAGCTTACATGGAGGCAGAGTCTAGTTGTATACCTAGAAATGTAATAATTGTATCTGGGCCTTCGGTTTTCTTGTTGGATACCGGGACTCCAAGGTGGTCAAACAAACTAATAGTTGCTTTGAGACTCCTGGGGGGAAGGGAGTTTGCTTCAATCAGTAAGAAATCATCAAGATAATGGATGACTATGGGGCATCTAGACACATTAAGTAACAACCAGCAAAGTGTTTCAGCAAAAGTGTCGAAGATTTTGGGGCTACTTTTTGACCCAAAGGTTAAGCGGGAGAAAAAGTAATAGTAATCTGCCCATTTGATGCCATGTAAGTGCCATAGTGTGGGATGGATAGGTAGTAGTTTAAAGGCATTGGTAATGTCTGTCTTACTTAGCCATGCTCCAATCCCTGCTTGCATAATGGCTGTAATAGCATGGTCTATAGTGGCATATTGTAGGGAAAACTCTTCGGAGGGAATAAGAGAGTTCAGACTCGGTGTAGATGAGGTATGAGGGGCCGACAGATCTATGATGAGTCTTTGCTTGAGGGAAGTTTTCCCTGTGACTATCCCTATGGGATTTCTGCACAAGCCGTAAAAGGTGGGATTTTGAAAGGCCCGAACAAGAACCCCTCTGCCAGCTCTTGGGCTAAGAGTGTGTCTATGGCTGCTGGGTTTTGTTGTGCTGATTGTAAATTAGGACATTCGAGTTGGCCTGTGGGCATATGTATAATGCCTGTATGAAACCCCTCTGAGAATCCAGAAATAAGAAAATTTACCATATGTCTGGAAGGGTGATTGGTTAGTAGTGCTGAGAAGACATGAATGTTAACAGACGTTAGGTACGGTTTAGGATACATTTTATTTGGACACATGGTATGCACATGTGTCCTGAAACAATGTGAACAAATATGCAATAACCTGCATGCACTAAAGCTACATGTGCCCACATTGAAATTATTGCACACTTGTGATTTACCAAAGAAAATGATAGGACGACCCAGTTTGTCTCTGGTGGTTTGAGACCTGCGAAGTGTCTACAAAACAGCTCTGTATCTAGTCTGCTCCAGTTGATACGGGTACCATACTGAGAGAGAGCTCCAGACACCTTAGTGGAAAAAGACCTATGGTAGTCATAAAAAGCAGATCCACCATATTTGTTCCCCAGGTCCACCAGCTTGTGCATATAGCGATCAAATTCTTCCCTTCTATTAGGGTACACTTCACAAATTACATCTCTAAAAATACCAAAGGCTAACACAAATTCTGAAATGGTCAGTTTACGGTTTAACCTTGCGTCTTTTGATCTGACCACTACAGAAACTTCATCATACATATAGGTTTTGTTCTCCACCACATCCTGGTAGGCAATTAGTAGGGATGCCAGGTTGACGTCTTTGCCTTCCAGGATGTCCCTCTTAATGTGGGCTGGGATAGTGTATGCAGGGTCAACGTCCTGATAATCTGAGGAGATAACCATACCCGTGGCCCGTGGTTCGGTTGGTGCCTGCTGAGCAGTATCAGGAAGACCAGCCTTGGTGAGGGCTGTGGTGACTGCCTCGAGATTAGCCAGTCTGTCATTGACCTTGCCCATAGAGGTCATGAGTGAGGCCAGCATAGCCTGGATATCACCTGAATTGGTGTTGCTGGGGCCTTCCCCTGCTTCCGTGTTGTCGATTGTAGTGTTAAGGAGTTTGAATAGCTCCGCTTTCCTTGCTGTGGCAGGGTAAGGGATTTGTCGCCTCCTTAACTCCGTGGTGATACGTGGGATCGTCCATGATCTGATTGATGCTGGACTGGCAATGTCTCCTCTACGAGAGGGTGTCTCGACCCTAGTTGGGGTGGCATGAAGAGATAGCTCTTCATCACCTTCAAGAGACATACTTAAATAAAAGGAAAGAGATTTATTATTTGAACTTATTAGTTTAGTACTGGCTACTAGCTATGCCGTGAGGCGAAACCATTATGCTTATTGTTTATTGGTGACAGGTGAGGCCCTGCTAGTTGCCAAGCGGCTTGAGAGGCTCTATCTATGGTTGGCGCGAGGGGATTGTTGTGGCCACCAAACATTGTGGCAGGATGTCGGCCTCTCGGTGCCTGTAACCAGAAAATAGGAAAGGGAGTGACAGGTGAGGCCCTCTCTATGAAACTTTCGAGGCGGCTAGCTCACATGTGGCCCGAGGGGTGTTTGCTTCCGAATTTGAAGCGGGGTGTTGACCCTAATTACCAGTACTTGTCTGTCCTGTGGGGGATTTTGAATAGGTCTACTGTAAGCAGGTGTACGTACCTGGTAGTATAGGTTATTGAACCTGGTAATCTGTATAGGTAATAGTAGTACCTGTAACTAAATAGATGAACCGTACAAGTGACACAGTTATATTATCTTTAATTATGTTTGTATTGACCTGTATAGGTCAGGAGATGGTGTTTGTAAGATCTCCTTAATTCTGTATGTCGCCTTGTAGTTGGTAGGCAAATGTAGTAGTAAAGGCAAATGTAGAAATGTATATAAAACCCCCTAGGGAAAAGTATGATATATCTGTGAGATTATGTATGGCGTACAGGAAAGTAATGTGATATTACAATAATGGCAATATCCTTGCTGACCTGAAGGTGGCAGTGTGGAATCTTTAACCATGTGAATACCCATATGTGTAACTGGGACCTATTTGTTAACCCATTCGTGAGTGTAGTTCTCAACATGTAACATTTAAGCAATAATTCTTTATTCCCAACAATTGTCCGTTCGTGTGTTTAACCGTACGAACTGGACAACATAAGACTAGCAGGGTTTGATTTGCTATGGCCGGACGGCTGCCCAGTCGGCAGTGCTAGTTTATATGTGAATATTGTTCGTGCGATGTGAAAGTCCCGAACAGTAAGTGACAGGAGAATCAGTAGCATTAATTGTATAGCGTGTTTGTGCGTTTTGACCACACGAACGTAGACATGTATGCGAAAATGTTTAAGCAATTAATTAAATGGGAGAAATATGCAGCGCATCATATTAAGTACCGAACATCTAACGAAAAATGCTGTGTAAGCGAACAGCTGAACCCAGATGGATATGGTATACAGATTTTAAGTGCAGAAATAGCCGAACGCGTACAGTAAGTGAGGACCTGAACCGTATTGGATGCCGTGGGCCTTGTTGCCTGGCGTAACGGTTAGGTCTACTTACTGTTTGATAGTCACTAGGGCGCGATAGTAGGCAAGAAGTTGATCCAAAGGAAATCTGCAGAAGGATTCCTGGACACAGTTCAGCGATGGAAAACCTCGTGGGACACAGAGGTATTCCAAAATGGCGACTGGATGAACCGGAAGTGCATTCAGACGCTGACCTTGAACGGTGTGGAGTCAGGTAAGGGTTGTACCTTATATAGGGGAGTGAATTAATTCCAGTCCCTTCCACAAATACAGGCCAAACGGCCTTAACACATATGCACATTACTACAAATCACATGAATTAAGTGAAACTATTTTTTACCCTTTTAAGCATACACACTCTCACTGACCCATACACACTCTTTGGCACACACTCTCACTGACACCCCCTCTCAGATACACACTCACTGACATACACACTCACTGACAGACATACTCACTGACAAACACACACTCACTGACAGCACACTCTCACTGATTTGACACACACTGACAGACATACTCTCATTTATATTGCAAAGGTAAAGATGATATGCACACTATCCGGGAAGTACTCCCATGAGGGTGCTCCAGACCGGCAGGGACACAAATCCAGGAAAGATTCAATAGAACAATGTAGATCATGGCACACTTGGTGGTTTCTTCAGTAGGCAGCTGTATTATAAAGAGCAGAACAAAAAACGTTTTTGTGCTGCACTTTATAATAAAGCTACCTACTTAAGAAATCACCAGGTGTGCCCTGGTCTACATTGTTCTATTGAGACACACGCTGACAGACACATACTCTCATTGATACTGACACACACACACATTCACATTCTCTCACACACTACACTCACAAATTATTATATATTTTTATTTTAATTTAAGTCCACCCAGCCTCCCTACTTTTGGGAGAGCTAAAGTGGATTCTTTCCCTGGGGTTCAGTGGGGATGCTGTGAGTCTGTAATTTTCATTCTCTTCTTGCTCTGCTCCCTTTCGCGCCATTTAGAGAAGCAAGTCATATTCTGGCTCCCGCCACCACCATTGCAGGGCGCCCTAGGGAGCATGAAGATGACAGCTTCCTTACTGCCCACCTCCATTGTGCAGAACTGCCTGCCTTCTGGGTGCCCTAAGGTGGCCAACTGACCAGCTCTTGGGCCCAACATAACAGGGGGAACACAGAGGGTCTGGTTGCACTTCTAACCTCAGCGACTTCTATAGTTCTACCACTGCATACCTCCCATATGTAACCAGGATTAGTGGACGGGCCTTCATGGGAACATCGCCAGTGACGGAAGTTGCGTGACTGGTGACACCTATTATGGGCAAGCAAGTCCACTGATGGGTCATGTCAGCCTAGTGTCAAGCTGACAGACATCCAATTGGCTGGATAACCTCTGAGCTCTCTCCATAGTCCCAATGCTCGAGTTCATTTCATGATGAGTTTGTGCGGTGGTACTCAGGGAAAGTTCCCTTATGTCTCCAAATGACGAAAACCAGGAAACAAATCTAAAGGCCAAGACAAAGCCCAAAATTGAGACTTTCCCGCCAAAAGTGGGATAGTTGGAACCCTCCTACCCTCCTATGCACACATATGTAATGCTACCCACACTGTTCTACACACGCTGCTAGTGGACTGGACTAGTGCTCACTTGCATGCTACACAAACACACATATACACAGAAATGCCTACACACATAGACCTCCACTCAGACATTTACACTACACACACATACTTACTCTATAAGTGTGTGTAGTATATAGAATAATTTTATTATATTTAAAGGGTAAAATATCTTTTAATTTCTTTGGAAGTGAGGGGCGAAGGGGGGCGCTTGAGAATTCTGTGCCTAAAAGCGCTTGTGATGTAAATCCAGCCCAGCTAACACTTTATATAATGCTACTGTGCTGCTTACCTGCTCACCCTCTCTTGGAAAAGAAACTGAACTTCCAGTTAATAGATGTTCTTGGAAACAATTGTAACATAAATCATATGTTCCTATTAACACATGTGCTTTTGCTGTTAGCAGATGTCTTTTCTACATGTAAAAATGAAAATTTATCATCCGGAAAACACGCAGAGTGTTAGCAAATTCTTTAATCAACTCACTAGTTGTAAATCCAGGTCTTGTCAGCAAGCCCAGACACGAATGACCCTTTAACTTGCTCATCAGTGGTATCTAAATTATTTAAAGACACACTACAGGCACCATAAGCGCTAAAGCCTGCTGAAGGGGTTATGGTGTCAGGAGTGCCCTGGTGCACCCCCATTATAAAGAGTTAATTTGCTTTAAAATCGATTGACTTATTACCTGTGTCTGCAGAGTGCCTCACACTGCCTCCACCACTTTTTGATGGAGAGCCAAAAGCCGGTGCAGGGCTTAGCTCATTGGCTGAAAGCAATCAGCTGATGTCTCACTCATTGAGCTAGTCTTGCATTGTACTGTTTAGCTCAGGACAGCTAATGGTAACCACTGGTTAGAAACTTCCGGCTTTACATTATCAGTAGTGCTGTAATGTTTATGGTGATTGGTATGTTAAATTAGAAGAGGAATGGTGACATCATGAATTCAATTTAATTCATTAGATTAACAGAATCAACTATATATTTTCACAGTAGCCCATAGTGAGATTGTGAGGTCTGACAAGTATGGGTATGTAGGTTTATTCACTAAACCGAGAGCTGGCAAAGTCAACCTGGCTGTAATTGAAATGCTGCCTATGGCCCCCTGGCACAACCATGGATTTAATGGATCAAACCATTTAAGAACAGTTTTATATAAACCGAGGATCTTCTTAGGACTGAGAGACCACCCTACCTCAGCTACACTGATATTCTAAAATTAGTACTATTATCAGTGATTTCATGCAATCTGGATGGCATTATTTGATTGCGAGTAGTGAAGTATAGTTAAGCCAGCACTCTCAGCCAATCAAAGTAATTCAGGTTGGATGAAATTGATACTAGTAATGAGGAAATGTAATGTTCACTTTATCAAGTAACTGAGGTAAGGGAAGTCCCTCAACACCAAGAAGACTATAATTAAACTGTTCTTACACAGATACACTGATGTTCCAGGGAACTCTAGACTGCATAACCATTACAACAAGCTGCAGTAATTATGTTGCTTGTAGTGCCCTCAACCATTATCTTGGAGAGTACTCAAATGTAATTATGCCTCTTATATTTCATCTTTCATGGGTATCTAGAATGGTGGCTTTACCAATATTGTATTACATTATTGTGAACGCGTATAGCAGAGAACTCAGTTTGGGTCTATTTAAGCTGTTCTATTTGTTTTGTTCCTGTCAGCGGAATATTCAAGTGCTAAAATCCAGTCATAGTAGTTAACAGGGAAACTCTTCAAATAAACAAGATGTAAAATTAGAAGCCGAAGCACACGTTTCCCATCTTGATGCATCAAAAGGCTTCTTTGTCAAAGGGTGCATATGGCAGCCAATTGATTGTTTATCTATTCTCAGAAAAACTTTGTTATATGGGGATTGTGGAGACACCTCCAGGAAAGGTTTCTGCTGTAAAAAGAGGGTAATATTTCTCTTCAAATCACAGATGATAAAACAATAATCTGTAGCTTTCTGGATAGCTTGTGAATTACATTTGAAGAAGCATTGCCATCATAGAGAAATATAAGGATGCTGAACTGGATTCCCATTAGTTAAGGAAATTGTAGCTATTGGCTGCTGCTTTGTTCAATCTTAGAGTCACTCCAAGCTCCTCCAACATAGTGCCCTGTACACACTCTCAGTTGTGAGGGTAACTTATAACTGCAGTGATTTGTAAAAGTTACTGCAGCTACAGAGTGCTGTCACCAGACAAATTATATTTTACAGACTGCCTGTGTCAATGTCCAAAGAGTGTGAGAGGTATGCATCATTAGTAGATATTAAACCTGGACATGGATGGGGAATTGCCAGTGACACAATGTCCAGGGAATATAAATCTGATGTGAATGTGTGCCAGGTTGACTGCCCATCACACTACATATGTGCAGAGCACTGTCAAAGCACTCTGCCCATGGGCTCAATGCTCCAAGTACAGTTTGCACAACAGAATCTAATGGTGCACCTGTCTTGCAAAGACTTCTCATTGAATGCATTGGGAAGTCTGTGATTGGACAGTCACAGAAAGTATGGGTGGGATTAGGAGGGCAGGGCTTCCAAAAACTGCAGGCAATAGATCTGCAGGTTTTGCAAACTTAGATACAAGTCCAGTGAAAAAAAAAGAAGAATTAAATGCATGCATCTTTTCATTGGGGGTATATTTACTAAACAGTGATTGTTTTATTTATTTATTTATTTTCAATTTGGGCAGTGAATTGTCCCTTTAAATACTCTTCCCAGAGTGCAGAATATTTAAGAGTGCAGGTGTGTTGTAGAACACTCCAGTCACTGTATTAATTACAGCCTGTTCTAGTGGTTATTATTCCAGGTGTGCCCTGGCAACCTCCCTGTGTACATATCAAAACTGTTTGCAAATTATTTCACAACTTTCCTGGTATTCACTCGTTGCCTTCATGTCTATAGCTGCAAGGAGTTCCTGCAAGGAGTTTACATTAGCTTTAAAGGGACACTGTAGTCACCAAAACAACTTTAGATTATTGAAGCAGTTTTGGTGTATAGATCATTTCTCAATTCTCTGCCATTTAGGAGTTAAATCACTTTATTTATGCACCCTAGTCACACCTCCCTGCATGTGACTTGCACAGCCTTCCTAAACACTTCCTGTCAAGAGTTATATAATGTTTATACTTACTTCATTGCAAATTCTTTTTAATTTAAAATATATTATCCCCTGCACTGTTGATAGCTTGCTAGACCCCCCAGAAGCATTCTGTGTATGATTAAAGTTCACTTTCGAGAGCAGGCAATAAGAACTTTTAAAGTAAGTTACATCTAATTGAAAGTGAAACCATTTTTTTTTTTCATGCATGGTGCGTGAGTAACAGCCAGGGAAGGTATGACTAGGGCTGCATAGACATAAACAAAATGGATTTAACTCCTAAATTGCAGAGATTTGAGCAGTGAGACTACAGGATCATGATCTATACACTAAAACTGCTTGCTAAAGCTAAAGTTGTTTTGGTGACTATAGTGTCCCTTTAATGAGCTAAGCCTCGCTAATTGAGAATGCTCTCAGCCAATAAATGCCTCTCTGCCTCACTCTGCTTAGCTAATTTAGCTTAGCTGAGGAGCCGGCCCTTATCTGGATGGATTCTAGGTTAGTTATCAAACCATTAGCAAACTTTGACAACTTATGTTGGGAGGGCACTAAGGCATTCCTGACACTGTAACCACTACAGACTGGTGCTTTGCGTGTTCCTTTAAAGGGAAACAATAGTGCTTGGAATACAAAGTTGTATTCCTAGCACTATAGTACTCTCTGCTGCCCTCCCCCTTTCGGCCACCCCCCTGCTCCGAAAGTGTTAAAAACCATGTTGTCACTTACCTTATTCCAGTGCTGATATCCCTCGGCACTGGGTTAGGCTCTGCCTGCGCTGCTCCTCCAACGATGTCAGCCAACAGGAGGCACCTAATGCGCATGGCGAGCGTCATGATCGCATTAAGAGTTCCGCATAGGAAAGCATTAAATCAATGCTTTTCTATGTGGTTTTAGCTGACGATGGAAGTCCTGTTTGGTAGACAACCACTAGAGTTGGAGAGAAACCCTGCAAGGTAATTATTTCAGTTTCTCAATAACTGCAATAATTACAGTTGCAGGATTAAGGGGACGCGGGCACTGCACTCAGACCACTTTAATAAACTGGTGGAAGTGGATGAAATAAGTAAGGATGTTTATACCTTCCTGTTGTGTAGATGCTGACAATCGTTTTTTCACTAAATAAAAATAATTGAAACTTCCTCAACACAGTGCTGTGATGATGACATACTCGTTGGCTGGGATTCATTGAGTTTTCCCTCTTGACAATTTTTTAATTTGTTTTTTAGATGCTTTTAGCTCAGAATGAACTTTTTGATATCTGGGTGTTTTTAATTATTTAACACCAACGTGCTTTACTCTTCAATAAAACTAGTTCACTAGTAAACACAGGGGGTTATACTCTATGTACAGAAATTATAATCTCAGTTGTAGCGAGTGTGAGGTTTATAAAAAGAAAGATCCAGTTATCTGTAAATGTTACTGCATCATAGATGCCATTTGTATCCAAATATAGTTCATCTTCAACACAAACATAAATAGCTACAGAATCATAACGTGACAATATTGGTAACTACTAACTGCCACTGACTCTACAAGATTTACCCCCACGCTGGGCCTTGTTGCTTGACTCTGAGATGTATCATTCAACCTATTTGGGATGACTTCGAGTGCAGCCTGGGTGATGGATTCATGTAGGAATAGCAGTTCTTGATTTTAATTGGTTGGATTTCTCTTAATGTATCCATTCTACATGCTGCTTGGCAGCCCTCTTCATATAGCTCTCAACAGCACATGGTATTTATAGCTAACTGGGAAAATATCAGACTCCAGCGCTGTCCCACATAAAGAACTTTGTTATACATATTACGAAAGAGCACCTTTAAATCTGCTACCAAACTCCTAGCAAACATATAGATTAGCAGATTTTTTGAAAAAGTCAATACTTACCTTCTGTCTGATTCTGGTGTCAAAGAACTAGATTTCACATGAGGGGAAAGGAAATGTGGAGTAATGTAAATAATCAGCTTTAGTAGAAAAGGAAGAAAAAAATTAAAACATGACAAGAAAGCGGGAAAATGTAATTTCTAGTATACTACAATAAGCAAAATGTTTTACTAAGTATGGTTTATTGTTGTTTCTGCATTTCTGTTATCTGTATGACAATTTATATTATTAGGAAGCTGATGTGGAGGAAGAACCTCTCTTTACTACTACTGCCCCAACAACACCTTTTATGTGTAATACAAAGCCAGGAGACTCTGGTGTCTTAGATTCCACCTCCGACAGTTGGTCAGATATTCACCCATGGCACACAACTACAGTTCCAACAACTACAACCACTACAGAGAGTACCGCACAAGAGGAAAAAGATGATGAAGATACTGAGACAGTGGAAGAAAAATCAGATGAAGCTGAAGACTTAAATGACCTTGAGAATCAGGATAATGAATGTACTCAAGATGCAACTCCAGAGGACATACAGAAGTTCTCACAAGCAGTAATGGATTTCAGTGTTGACCTCTTAAAGCAAACAGATCCAGAATTTAAAAAGCCACACGTGATCATATCTCCATTCAGTGTTGCCCTCGGACTGCTACAGCTATCATTAGGTAATGTAAAACTTTTTTTGTAATTGATAGTTAGTGTATCACTGTATTGACTCTGCAGGAAGTGGGATGCTAACCTAACTGATCCTTAGTTCATTTCCTGCAAGATCTGCGATTTCTTGGGCATTTCTCTAGTATCTTTGAGTATTCTATCTTAAGTGTAATTGTTTTGGGTTGAGTAAGGGGTTGTCTGCACATGACTATTTATATGTATAAAATTATTTCTGGATTAATATGGTGATTGACATCATATACCGAGTTATTTACTAAAGTGAGAATTGCATGGAATTTAAATTGAATTCAAAGTGAATTTCAAATTTAAGGTTAAAATTGATGAACCGGAAAAATTCTTCCAGTCAACTATCCTTTTAGTTTGGCTACCTTGGCCTTCAATTTGAAATACTCGTTGAATTCACTGCAATTCTCTCTGATAGAGATTTATAGACATGTGCATTTGTTTTCAATTTGGACAAATTTAGGCTGATCAGTTGGTTCACAAGGGCCGTATGGACGTATAACTGAGCAGAAGACTTGTGCAATGTAGGAGCATGTACACTAATTTGCCAAGTTTCATGCCTTTTTTGGTTCATTGAGCCAACCGCCACATGAACAACTTTCACACTACCCTAACAAACTAGATTTTCAGACAAAATAATTCAGCTGAACCCAAAACCCGCCCCCTCCCCCCATGCAACTCCTCCATACTCTTTTCCAAAACTCCATTGTCTCCAGAGACTTCAACAGATAAACCTTTTGTGTTTGTCCTGATACAGAGAAACTGTGCATTCTATTTTTATAATCCCTTTTTGATCTCTGGCCTGCTCAGTCTTTTTTACAATAATCAATATTCTTAAGGTAATTTTGCTACCTAAAAATAAATAATCACTATAAAAAATCTTTACTTTCCTATTAATAGTGTTATGTGTAAAAAGCCAGTAAAATTAATCTCTCATTTGTTATTGTTCAAAACAGAACATTACTGCAAGGTGATACTATCTGTACTAGAGCAGAAACAGTGATGTGGGCATCAGGATTATTGTTTTTTAATTTTCACAAACCACTAGCAAAAATGGGGGATACATAAATGTGTGTGAGACTAGGGTGGAAAGGGGATCGGACAATGTAGTAGGAACAAGCAAAATATGATGTAAAATGTGGGCAATACTTTCTCTACTTTTATCATATCTTCAATTTACCCTGCTTCAATCCATATACAAGACATGATAACTGCATCCAACATAGGGTTCAAGCTCCAGTCAAAGCCATGAGTATGAACTTTTACAAAGAGTTTCAAATTATGTGCACTCTTACAGACTCCTGTTAATCATCAAGTCCTTATATCCCTTGAATTATTCTAGTCCGGACAGACATTGTTTTTGGCCACATGGTGGCACTTGGCATAACTGATTTATCACAAAGCATTTCATCAGATAATACACGTGGCACTACCTAAAAATGCAGTAACTAATAAACACTTTTTTTAAATCTGGTATTTTTTTAAATGCAATCACAATACAAAAATCATGGACTACTTTTGACCACAGTTGATAATGCCATAGAAATCAGAAAACATCATTGATCAAAATCCAGGATTAAGTTGTGAGATCTTTGTTATTCATGCATTTTGGAGCCAGATATGCCAACGTTATGAGGTTTTATAACAAACAAAATGATGATTTTGCTTGCTTTCTTATTCCATCATAGACTAACGATTAGTGGTGGCAGTAGTGATAATGCAAGGAACTAGCCTATTGTGTTCCATATGGACAAAGCTGTGTATGTTTATTTAAGGTTATTCAAAATGGGTATTTAAAGGAACACTATAGGGTCAGGAACATTACTATGTATTCCTGTCCCTATAGTGTTAAAACCGCCATCAAGCCCCCCCTGCCCTCCTCCCTAAATATAGTAACATCTTACTTGTATGCAACTCTGAAGCTCCTGCCTCTGCCCCTGCTTGGCCGATATCATCAGAAGTGATCAATCACACTTTCCTATAGGATTGGCTGAGCCTATCAAGGAGATCAGGGACAGAGCCAGCACAAGCCAAACACAGCCATTGCAAATCAGCATATCCTCATAGAGATACATTGCATCAATGTATCTCTATGGGGAAAGTTTAGTGTCTCCATGCAGAGGGTGGAGACACCAGTGCTGCACTGTGCAGCACTGCCCCAGGAAGCACCTACACTGTGCAGCACTGCCCCAGGAAGCACCTACACTGTGCAGCACTGCCCCAGGAAGCACCTCTAGCAGCCATCTGAATAGTGGCCAGTGAAGTTATCACTGTAATGTAAACACTGCATTTTCTCTGAACAGATAGTTTTACAGCAAAAAGCCTGGAGGGAATGATTATACTCACCAGAACAAACACAATAACCTGTAGTTGTTCTGGTGACTATAGTGTCCCTTTAAGGCATAGTGTAAATGTTTTTTTCTTGTGTTATCAGTTTTTGCTATATAGTTGTAACAGTAGTTATTTGTCCTTGAACTAATTAACAAGGGCTCATTGGTTAAGATTTGATGGCATTGCTTGCTTAGGGAAGGTGTTTCAGGAGCTCCTGTGCAAACACTTTGTGGTTAATTAGTTGAAAATTCTTTCATGGCTTATCAAGTCCTTTTTGGTGTTGAATTCATTAAGCATGTGATGATTCTGATTTAAGGGTTGGCAACTCTTGACTGAAGGTACAGGGCCCCTCTTTACTCGATAATAGTAAAAGTGTTGTGGAAAGGTATTGGAACAGTGTGACTGTGGTTGGATTGGAATAGTAACAGCCTACTGGTAGCTATTAATGTGTCAATAATTATCTAACAATAGATTATAATCCACCCCATATGAAAACAAGTTTTCCAGTTTAAATTTCGGGAGAAACATCTCATTATAACTCATTTGCACTTGTTTTGTTTGAATTTTGAGAAGATGGTTTTCAGAATTGCCTGACCCCATCTTGTTAAATGACTGTTATTCGTTTATTTTAATATTATTTGGGGAAATGTTTTCTAATTATTTTTTTTTAATTTTAAATGTAAGAAGGAAAAGGTTTTATTTACGTGCCAAAGATGCTGTAGATATGATGAATCTCACAGCAGGTAGAAATAAATCCATTAAGATTATTTCAAACTCTCAGCAGTTACAAAGCACAGAGGGTTTTTGTTGTTGAATATCTGTCTTTCTTGTTTTCTCAAGCTTTTTTAGTTTTATTTTTCGTATCAAATTTGAGGGGGCATACACATGTTCGGCTTGGGAAATAAACAAAAAGGCAACATGTATCTATATATCAAAAATTGTAATGACTCACCCCAAATAAAGATCCAAATATTGTTTGAAATTAATATCGTAATATTATTTTTAATTCTGTAACACGAACAAACACTAACAAGCAATAAAAACCTGTTTTAAGGGGAGATTGCAGAACTGGGGGAACTCCAGACCCTATCCCTTGTATGAACCAGCACATCCTCAACCGGACTCTGATGCCTGCAGTATTCCTTCTTGATGCGGGACTGTGTTCTGTCCATGAAGGGTATAGGATGATCTCGGACTGATTAATCACCCACCCATAGCTCCCAATTACTTACCTTTCCCACCTTGTTGAACCATTTTGGGAGAATTATCTGACTTGTTGTCTACCCCTCTACCCATACTCTTAATCAGCTGTTGTGTTGTGTACCTCTGACCACTCACCCACTCTCACCTGCCACGTGGTGGCCAACTATGGGAAACACTCAGACCAGCTAATCTCTGTTACCTCTCGTTTTCTCAACACTATATAGGCCGATCTCAGTGCAGACAGCTTGCTCAATCTCTGACTTAACGTCAAACTCAATCTGTACTATGTTTCCAGTTACCTTTTCTATACCTAAAAATTGTAGAAATTTATAAAAACAAAAACAAAAAAAACCTGTTTTAATTGTTAAAAAAAAAACTTTTAGAAATTATGTCTTAGACATGACTAGTTAGTCCTGTTTCTAGTAAACCATCTAATTTGCCCTGACGGGTCCTTTCAAATATAACTAAATAAAGAGGAGGAGAAGAGAGATCATTGCTAATCTGTGTAAAAGTAAATTGGAAATAATTGGAATATCAAGAGCAGGTAAATATTAAGTGTTATGGTCAATGTCATAATACACTGATTGCTGGTGTTTTTGGTGTTTTTTGGAGCCTATTTCTATGAGTAGAAGTTGAGGATCGATGGATTTTAGGTGTCAGTGATGGACCATTGTAATAATGGTTGTTGTTGAGATAATGGTTGCTGTCAGTGGTGTATTTTGGTTTTGTGCTACCCTAGGCATAAGAACACCTAGACACCCCCTAATCTAAATTTACCCCAAACCTTCCTGCCAAGGGAGCACCTCATCCTGATTAAGACCCACCCCTTCCTTTTTTGGGCTCCATCATTTCCACCTAAAACACCACCTCTACGTACCAAATCCTTTTAAACAGACACACTCTCACTGACCCATACACTCACTTATTGGCACACACACTGTTTAACAAAAACACACTTTCACTGACAGACAACATGCCCTCACTGATACACGTACACTCACTGATAGACAGTCATTGTCTCATACACTATTTAACCAACACATATGTTTACTGACAGACTCACACTTACACGAACATAGAAACATAGAATGTGACGGCAGATAAGAACCATTCGGCCCATCGAGTCTGCCCAATTTTCTAATTACATTCATTAGTCCCTGGCTATATCTTATAGCTAGGATAGCCTTATGCCTATCCCACGCATGCTTAAACTCCTTCACTGTGTTAACTTCTACCACTTCAGCTGGAAGGCTATTCCATGCATCAGTTCTTGGACCCTCATATAACAGGTGAGGACACCAGGGAAGTCCAAACGGGCATTTGGGATGGAATTTGTTGCTGCCTCCTAAATAGTGCCTCCCAAGGCAAATGATTGTATAAATTTATATATATATATATATATTACTCTACCTATATACACACATAGGTGTTTGTGTTTGAGCAGTACACACTCTTTTTGTTAAGTGGGTGTAGGTCTCATATTAAATGGGGGTGGGGGTCAGAGATCCCCTGGTCTATTATTTAATTGGGGAACTCTGTAAAATATGTGTATTTTTTTGAGAAGAGGGGATTGGGTCTCTCTTCCCCAATTCTGCAAAATAGCCTTACATCCCCCCAAAAAACTAAAAAGGAAGGGGAATAAAATGGATACATGTTCCATCCCCTGTCTGAATATGAACTGGAGAGCCTTTGTCAACTTTTAAATACAACTCAATCCACACTATAAACTTACTTACTTTGAATTGGAACCCTGACAGATAATACTTGGCTATACACTATAACCCATGCCCCCCTTTCTACAACTGACTTAAAAGAAATACCTAAGGCTTTTAACTGCTAAATATTTGGCCAAGTGAAGAGTTTGTAAAAGTTTTGGGAGGAGTTTAATTTAGGGTTAGGGAACATGGGGTGTTTAGGATACAGGCATGTGGAGTTTAAAGGGTTATGTGCAAAGTACACACCCTTCTATGATTGATAGTAGAATTGCAGTAGCTGTTATATTGTGTGAACCGCTCAGTGCTGTCCCTGCTCCTCCTGCAGGGCACTTCCTGTGTGAGAGGATGTTAGTGGGCAGATGGGAAATGGCACTGGAGGAGCTGGGAGAGAACTGAGTTTTACACCCTCTATAACTGTTCCTGCAGGTCTGCTGTCAATCATAAAAGGCTGACTGGACTACAGAGGACATTGGACTAGGCTCCGGGTATTTATTTCCCATCAGCAGCCCTCTTAAAATCCAAAAAGGCACATTATTAGTGTTGTAAAAAGGCAAATAAGTAAAAAGGTGTTGAAATCTAGCCCTGGTCACACAGTCGGAATTTCTGAAGCAGGTCTTCCTTTACCTTTTTCCCCCCATACTTTATTTTTGAAATGGCAGTAGCACATAACAGGCAACACATGGAGTCATGTATATTAGTACAATACAACCAATCAGTATAACTCCCATGCATCAAATAACATTTGCACAATAGTGTAAAGCAATATGTAGCAAATCCAATCTCTTCCCATGTCTCAGTACCACACCTCCAATGTGGACCACCCCTAATTTTATATAATAAACAAAAAAAACTAAAAACACATAGAACAATGAACAAAACACCATAAGAGATATAATATTACGCTGGAAACTACACTGTGGTTTTTGGCTGCAGTTGTGTCCTTGCCATAGGTTTTCATCAATCATTGTCAACCGCATATTTTTTTAACATGGATACCATCTAAGAAGAAGCATAATTATGTACATGTAACTTGGTGTGTGGCATCTTTTCGAGTATTTTCAGTAATTACGACAATCGAATTACGATAGGATGTGCAACAAAGTAACAGCATACCATAGCCCCAGTGAGTTTGGCCGTGCTCCAATGTCACAGTGGACAAGCAATAGTACCACTCAATACCGTTTCCTCCCCTTTCCCTCAGCTCAATGGAGAAAACTACTAGAATATTGGTATTACCCATCATGCTGTGGTGCAGCTTGTATTAGCTACAAAATACTCAACGACTTCCTTTTTCTTTAGGGAATAGAAAATCCTTCAAATTGTGAATGCATCTTTCTTTTTTCTAGTTTTAATACTCATTTTTCTTCCTATTTTGTGAATGCAATCAATAGTAATATCACCAGGAAAACAAGGAGCAGAAAATCAGAAAGGAATTAAAATCATCCAAAGGGGGACTAATAAGTGGCAAAAAGGCTGATTATATTATTTCATTACACAAAAAAGCTGATAAAGGGTGACGGAGCCTGGATGCCAAGTGGATAAGACATGCATCACCTGAGCTCCACTGACCGGGATTGTTAAACAACAATTAAACCAGGCCACTAGCCAATCTGGACTGATACTGGCGATTACCCAGACAAGGGGATGACGGTGCATCCAGAGATAACAAATTTTGTCTATTTCTTTACTGAAACGCTGACAATCAGGCTTTCGGCCTACACAAGTGTGGGCAGAGGAGAGACAGCCGCTCTCCGAGTCCTTCACCCGGTGGTGTGAAAATTGCACCAAGCTGCCCCCCCGGCCCCTCTGGACAGGCTGGGATCATCCTGGTCTCCCCCTGACATACTCCTCACATACCTGCTGGCTACAAGCAGCAGCTCAAGCTTGCTAATGCAAGCTCAAGCTGCTGCTATCACTCCTAAAATGGCAGCTACTCCTAAGCTACATTTGCCTGACCAGGCACAAATTGCGATGACCCTCCAAGACACATTTGAATGTAGACATGCTTTTTACAAGCTTTTGGGCAAAATTGGAGGCCCATGGTACGGAGACACCGCGCCAGAACCAGCAGGAAGAACACATTAGAGAGCAGCAGGAGGTGAACGGGCCCCTTCTAGGCGATTCCCCTTGTCAAGCACCTGGAACTGCTCGATTATTCCCACCTGGGCTAAAGGCCACCGAGGATATACCACCCCTGCATCTACCACGAGGATGAAAAACCACCGCTGGCGGCAATGTAACAAGGGGAGCTTCAGAGAACCCGAGTCTGTGGCCCCACGATGCCGGTCTTCTACATAGCCCGGGGCTGGAGGATCTTCACGCTCAACTCCTGCCTTGACAACAGCCCACAGACAGCCTCCACGCATCCCAAGCCGGGAATAGGCTGACGCTGGACTTTCTGGCCAGGGCCATCCTTATTCTGACATCAACAAGCCTGCTAACATGGCTCAGAGTGTTATGTTTTTTTTTGTGTCTTTTATTGTTTATTTTTCATAACGTTTCTACTAATGATTTTGCTAGGAGTCTTGTCCTAACATGTGCAATGCAGCTATATTCAGGGAGTATAGCCTTAGGGGTTACCTTCCTCTATAATCTTTGCATAGTTTAGCATGTTGCAATAACTACCCACGTAACTATAACCTGCAAAAGGTGGATTCAATGTCCCTTTCGTCATAGTTAACTGCACATCAAGCTTTATACCTAAACCTGATACCATTGTTTTGTCATAAGCGATTCCCTATAAGCCTAGCATGTTATATATCAAATAGCGTGCAGTGTCTTTCTGATGACATTATTTGGATAAACTGCTCACGTTTAATCTTGTAATTATCTGCTAAATTGTCTTTCTATGCATGCAAAACTTTTTATTACCAAAACATGTGCTGTAATATCGACTGCCCTTCACTGTTTAACCATGTATACTACTTCTCTTGCCACTGCTGTTGGGGCAGCGCAAAACTGTTTGTTCCTCTGATGCACAACAAAAATTAAAAATAAAAATTAAAAAAGAAGAAAAAGACCCCAATGTGTAAAGATAGATTTTACACCTAAAAAAATGGATCACTCGCACAAAATAGGTGCAAAAGTGGATGTGACAAATTTTATACATATCTCCCATTCTGTTTATGTGTGCTTACTGAAGTAGAGTCTTTTTTTTCATTTTTATTTTAGAATTACATTTTGTCTGCACATGTTTTTAGTTTATTTTTTGTACACATTTTATTAACGATTGTCTAATAACTGAAAACCTATTTTCGTCATTATAGGAGCTGGGGAAGAAACAGAAAAGAGGCTACTGGAAACACTCCATCTGAAATCAGTAAAATGTCTTCACAGCCAACTGCGCAGAACCCAACACGAGCTGACGAGTTCAATTATGAAAATAGCTAGTCGCATGTACATTAAGAAAGGTTTGTTATCGATGGGGATCCCAGTGCCCTGTTCTGTTCTATAGTACACATATCTGTGAGTCAGAAGTCCACATGTGATTATGATACATTTATTATAATGCTGTTGATAGAGTCTATCAGTTTGTTCTTCATGGAGTTTATTTAGCTTTTTCTTAGGTGTGTATCTTCTTATTAAAGCCCCCACTTTCAATTCCACCGAAATAACATGTATCTGTGTATCGGTGTGTAAATGTGAGGGATAAGCCACTGATATATGCCCTGCTACCCCAGTTGGTAAATGAGGCCCAATAATAAACAGTGTGGGGATTGTTCTGGAATAATTGCATTGGTTTCATTGTACCCAAAAAGCTAATTACTGGATAAGCAGATCGGGCATTCTGAGGGAGTTGGTGTTAAAAGGGAATTACATGTGTAGGACATGTATTCCTGTTCCTATAGTGTTAAAACCTCCTCCTCCACACCCTCCACCCGTCCCCCCAAATAAATTATAGTAAAATCTTACCTTTCTAAGAGTCTGCTGCTGCTGCCCCTACCTCTGATATGCCTGCTTGGCTGACATCATCAGAAGTGTTGAACAAAAGCCAATCACAATGCAGTCCCATAGGATTGGCTGAGACTGTCAAAGAGGCAGGCCAGTGGCAGAGCCAGCAAACGTCAAATACAGCCCTGGCCAGTCAGCATCTCCTTGTAGAAATTAATTGAATCAATGCATCTCTGTTGAGAAAGTTCAGTGTCTCCATGCAGAGGAGACGCTGAATGTGCAGTGCTGCTTATTTTGCAGCACTGGCAAAGGAAGCCGCTTTAGCAGCCATCTGAGGAAAACACCGCATTTTCTCTGAAAAGACAGTGTTTACAGCAAAAAGCATGAAGGTAATGATTCTACTCACCAGAACAAATTCAATAAGCTGTAGGTATTCTGGTGACGATAGTGTTCCCTTTAACAAATATATATATTCGTGGGGTGTGCAAAGTATCATATATCATGTAAATATAAATTCTGGCAGTCACTTCAGAGAAAGCATACAGAGAAAAGGAGACATGAAAGAATGTATTTATTTATATTCCTTATTTACAATTTCTGCCCAGGCTGTGTCTGCACTGAGCTGCATTATAATGACACTTGCTAAATCTGAATACAAATTTATATTTATAAATTTAATAGGATTATACTAATATCAGTTACATTTTCTTATTTGATCCCATTTGTCTTTACCACATAATTTTAAATATCTTATGTAATATTATAAATATAATGTTGGGTGAATATAATGTTGAGTGGGTTGGTTTGTACTTGTTAACCCTGAAATGATAAATCAGATGATGTATCAGGGTATCGTGCTATGAAGATAGTTGCCCAAATTGTAAATTTGTACATACATTAACAAACAAATCTCTTTGCAGGTTTTAAGATTAAAAAAGATTTTATGAAAAGAGCTGAAAAGTGGTACGGATCTAAAACACTTAATTTAGCAAAGAACAAGGAGCAGAATCTGGAATCCATTAATGAGTGGGTCAGAAAAGCAACAGAGGGAATGATCCCAAAATTCCTCTCGGAGATCCCTGCAGATATGGTATTAATGCTGCTCAATGCCATGTATTTTAAAGGTAAATTGGATAAGAGGTTTTTGTGTAATAAGTACATGTAGCTTTTACCTGTTGTTAGTCATGTCTTGGTTATTAAAAGGAACACTCTAAGTCCCATAACCACTACAGCCCACTTTAGTGTTTGTGGGGCCAGGAGTTCCTTGGTGCCGTCCCACTGTAAGTACTAAAGCCACTTTAGGACAGTTTGACAACTTATCTGGGTTCCTCATAGTGCCCGCAAATGCAGCACCTGCTTCTGGTCATCTCCTGCAAAAGAATCATATTCTTTATTTATGCAGGGCAACCCTCATTGACTGGCCAATGACACACTCCTGAACTGGCTCTACTTTATTCTATAGACCCATCCTGCTTGTCCTGCAAAAAAAAATCACTGGATTGTCTGTGGTTGATCCAGTGATCAAATAACATTAGAAAATAACATATATACATGACATCTTTTATATTGAAGGTCTGGGGTAGTTATACAACTGTAGTGTTTTACTGAATTATCCCAAGTTCTCTAGTCTAGAAGTTAAGAGGATGCTATTTTGTTGAAAAACTTTTTTTTAAAAAAAACAAAACAAAACATTGTTTATTAGCTTTTTGTTCCTGTACATAACAAGCTAGTTATCATGGGTGTGTTTTATCATTAAAAATTTACTATATATGCAGAAGGCCAATTTAACATTCTTGCCAAATACTTTTTAATATCCGCTTGAAAAAGAAAAAAAAAATGTACATGACTTGGAAATAAAAATGTGTTTTAACAAGGAAACAAGTAAACGTTTTTATATTTTTTTCTTTCTCATGGCTGGTTTTACTAGTTCAGTCTTTGCGGAAAAAAAATTTGGAAGCACAACAAGAAGTGAAACTGCCACATGTGAGCTATTATTATTTTATAGTTTATTCACTACAGTAAACACTATGCAAGAGTGTGTACTGGGAAAAATATTCCAACAAAAAAAAGCAAAATGCTCCTCTTATTTCCTCTGAGTGCAGTGAGTAGCCATTTTGATAATCTTTATATTTCCATGATGCTCAAGTCTTAAACTTGCAAGTTTGCAATGGATGGAGGGTTGTCATGAGTTGCTCTCATTCTGTCGTTGGGGACTATCTTGGTGGCAATTCACCATGAACCCAGAATGTTTTTACATACATATTAAATGTATTTTCTAATGTCTATATAATGCAGTAAAACAATTAGCCAGCACCTACTGCATGGGGAAGAAGTCCAGACGCCAGGGACCCGTTAAAGCAGAGGACCCATTGCTCCTATCTATATTACCCTGTAGATTGCAATATCTATCTGTTATGTATTGGGGTGTTATGCAGTCCACCTTCCAGTAGATGGCAGCATAGTGAAGTTATGCACTTGTTCTGTTGTGTTAGTCTCTCGTGTTATGTTATTATGTGTGTGTACTGAAGTAAAGAGAAGTTCTATTTTACTACAATGTCTGAGAGCCATTTGTGAATATATAACATGCGAATACATTAAACTGGCGACGAGGATGGGATGTCAGTAAATGGACACTGCAGAATACATATACAGGAAATAAAATCACCCCGAGTGAGGAAGTAAAACTTTTCTTTTGGAATTCTATTATCTACAAATATTTCCAGCATGGCTTCTCTGGGACACATGGAGAAATTTGATCTGGTTAATCCATCCTCATGGGACTCATATGCTGACAGGTTAGTGTTTTTCCTGAAGCTAATAAGGTGTGTTGCTGCTCTCCGGTGCTGAGCTGGTAGTGAGGCGGCTTTGGCGGTTACTCAAAGTGTGCGCAGCCAGAAGACATGGCGGGCCGGTCTATGCAAGCAGCTCGATGCCCTACAGATGAACTCTCTCTCACTAACTGCGCCGTTGTCAATGAGAAAGATTTCCAGTCTGGCCAGCATGTGACCGTGAGAACTTTCCAAAATAGGGGCTGTATTGAGCCACACTTTGAGAAATGGGGTTGAGGCTCCTATTGCGTTTTATTCACGGACTTTATCTACTACAGAGAGGAATTATGCCCAAATTGACAAGGAGGCTTTAGCTATTGTGTCCGGTGTAAAAAAGTTTCATGACTATTTGTATGGGCGGAGGTTTACTATTATAACAGATCATAAACCTTTAATGGGTCTGTTCACCAGCAATATTCCCACTCCTCAAATAATTTCACCACGCATGCTCAGGTGGTCCCTTATGCTGAATGCCTATGATTGTGAGTTCAAGTATCGTCCTGGCAAGGATATCAAACATGCTGATGGATTAAGCCGATTACCTTTGCCTTCTCCTGACTTCCTTGTTCCTCCTATGTCTGAGGTCCTCATGTTGGAATCCATTCCAAACCCTCCGTTACATGCAAGTGACATTGCTTGTATGTCTGCCAAGAATCCTTTGCTGTCCTGTGTGCTCAACTGGGTTTGGAAGGGGTGGCCAAAATCAAAAGTGGAAGACAAGTTCAAACCATTTGTAGTGCGCCAACATGAACTATCTGCCTATAAAGGGTGCCTATTATGGGGAAACAGAGTGGTAATTCCAAATGCAGGACAAGCTCGAGTATTGCATGCTCTTCATGAAGGACATCCTGGAATAGTTTGCATGAAAGTTTTAGCCAGAAGTTATGTTTGGTGTCCTAAAATGGATGAAGTTATTGAAAAGTGGGTGAAGAACTGTGTACCATGCCAATCTACTCGTCATGCTCCACCTAAAGCCTCAGTACATCCTTGGGAAGTGACTAGATCACCTTAGTCCCGTTTACATATAGATTTTGCTGGCCCTTTTCATGGACAGATGTTTTTTTTAGTTGTTGACTCCTTTTCAAAATGGTTAGAAGTTGTTCCAGTTACATCTGCTATCTCAGTCACAGTCATAAAGATTCTAAGGAGTCTGTTTGCTACACATGGGTTGCCAGATACAATTGTGTCTGATAATGGAACACAATTTACCTCATCAGAATTCAAACTTTTCATGGCAAGTAATCTTTTTCGACATGTTACGATTGCCCCATTTCACCCATCATCAAATGATCAAGCTGAGCGTATGGTTCAGACTACCAAAGACTCATTAAAGAGAATTATTGAAGGAGATTGGAATCGTAGACTTGCAAATTTCCTTCTGCAACAACATATGACACCATGCTCAAGCACTGATAGTAGTCCAGCAGAGCTCCTTATGAACCGGCGTCTTAAAACTTGTCTGGATCGTTTACATCCTGATTTGACATCTGAGTTACAAAAGAAGCAAGAATTGCAATTCAATAAGAACTATAATGCTTCCACTGTGAGAGTATTTGCACCTGACAGTGCTGTCTATGTCAGGAATTATGTTTCTGGGCCTAAATGGATACCTGCAAAAGTACTTGTGGCCACAGGACCTTTGTCATACAAAGTTCAAATTCCTGATGGTAGAATATTATGAAGGCATGTCGATCAGATTAGCAAATAACGGGAACGGAGATTAGCAAATAGCGGGAACGGAGTGATGAGATTGTGCCTGCTATCGGTCTCAGTCATACCAGGTTTTCAGTGATACCAGATGATGTCGAACCACTGGGTGATACAGGTGTCAGTTCTCCAGGAGTTGTTGTTGCAGAACCAGTTCCTTGCGGTCCATCTGAGAAAGCACAGGAAGAAGGGATGGGCACAACTGAAGGTCTAGGTGAAGCAGCTCCAAACATGGTTTTGGGGCGCCCAAGAAGAAATATTCACCCTCCCAGTTATCTCAAAGACTTTGAGGTCTAGGGGGGAGGAGTGTTATGTATTGGGGTGTTATGCAGTCCACCTTCCAGTAGATGGCAGCATAGTGAAGTTATGTACTTGTTCTGTTGTGTTAGTCTCTCTTGTGTTATGTTAATATGTGTCTGTACTGAAGTAAAGAGAAGTTCTATTTTACAACAATGTCTGAGAGCCATTTGTGAATATATAACATGCGAATACATTAAAGTATCTAATGTAAGCATACTTGTGTTATTTAAGAGGGATAAAGGGTCAAGAGCGCAATCGGGTGGAGGGAGTTAGAGTAACGCGGCAACTGGAAAGACCAACTATCATATTTACCTTCAGTAAAACACCCCTCTCCCTTTTAACCACCCTTCCCTAAGCTCTGGGCCATAGAGCATTCTAAGCAGCTTACATGTTAGCAAATGAGTTTGATTGTCTCAGAGATACATTTATGCCGACTGCCTTATTATATTCATTGAAAAGTGTTTTCACATATGTCTCTATATATGTTGTCCTCAATTTATATTATATCTAAACGGGGCTCTGTCCAACTGTTATATCTACACTTAGCATGCTTTTGGAATATTGTCAATGAATACAATATTACTGCTGTTTGAATTTTACGCCCCAAAAAATAAAGAATAATTTTTTTTTTTTACAAAAAAAAAACCAATTAGCCAGCCTGTATTGCCCCTTTCAGTTAAAAATTGCTCTATGATTGCAAAACTAGAATAAATAATGAATCGTTTTCATTGCCAGAACTTAATTCAGGTAACAAGTCGTGGGAAAATCAGATGTATTTTAATTGATTTGGATCAAATTCTTTGCCTTCTGTGATCATTTAGCTGGAGCACAGAGCACATGGATTTTGCAGGCCTGTTGTCCATCATGTTTCAATTTTTCTCCATTTCATCAAGAAGTTTATTTGTTGTATTACAAATACACCATGTTCCAAATTATTATGCAAATTCTATTTAAGTGTCACAAAGATTCAATATTTTGTTTTTCAGTTTAACTCATGGATGGCATTGTGTCTCAGGGCTCTTTTGATCACTGAAAACAATCTCAGACACCTGTGATAATTAGATTGCCAGGTGAGCCCAATTTAAGGAAAAACTACTAAAGGAGGGTGTTCCACATTATTAAACAGAGCACCATTTTCATGCAATATGGGAAAGAAAAAGGATCTCTCTGCTGCCGAAAAGAGTGAAATAGTTCAATGCCTTGGATGAGGTATAAAAACATTAGATATTTCACGAAAACTTAAAGGACCGCTCTAGGCACCCAGACCACTTCAGCTTAATGAAGTGGTCTTGGTGCCAGGCCCCTCTAGGATTAACCCTTTTTTTTATAAACATAGCAGTTTCAGAGAAACTGCTATGTTTATAAATGGGTTAATCCAGCCTCCAAATCCTCTAGTGGCTGTCTCGTGACAGCCGCTGAGGCGCTATGCGTGCTTCTCACTGTAGAAATCACGGTGAAAGGCTAAGCATCATAGGAAAGCATTATAAATGCTTTACAGGAACTGAGCTAGCTCGCAGCGTGCAGCTCATGCTATCTGCGCGGAGGAGCCCTGGGAGGGAAGCGGAGAGGGGAGGAGGAGAGCTCCCCGCCGGCGCTGGAACAAAGGTAAGTTTAACCCCTTTCCATACCATCCAGCCCCGCGGGAGGACCCTGGCGTTGGGGGCTTCCCTCAGGGCACTATGGTGCCAGGAGCGGTATGTTTTCCCTGCACCACATATGGTCATCCACAAGCGTGATCATCACACTATTAAGAGATTTGTGGCTGATTCAGAGCACAGACGGGTTCGTGCAGATAAAGGCACATTGAGGAAGATTTCTGCCAGATCCATGCATCGGATCAAGAGAGCAGCTGCTAAAATACCATTACATAGCAGCAAACAGATATTTGAAGCTGCTGGTGCCTATGGAGTCCCACAGACATCAAGGTGTAGAGTCCTCCAACTGTGCATAAACCTTCTATTCGGCCACCACTAACCAATGCTCACAAGTAGAAACGGCTGCATTGGGCAGAAAAATACATGAAGACTAATTTTCAAACAGTCCTGTTCACTGATGAGTGCCGTGCAACCCTGGATGGTCCAGATGGATGGAGTAGTGGATGGTTGGTGGACGGCCACCCTGTTCCAACAAGGCTGCGACGTCAGCAAGGCGGTGGTGGAGTCATGTTTTGGGCCGTATTCATCGGAAGAGAGCTGGTTGGCCCCCTTTGTGTCCCCGAAGGTGTAAAGATGACCTCTGCAAAGTATGTGGAGTTTCTGACTGACCACTTTCTTCCCTAGTACAGAAGGAAGAACTATTCTTTCCATAATAAAATCATCTTCATGCATGACAATGCACCATCTCATGTTGCAAAGAATACCTCTGCATCAATGGCTGCTATGGGGATAAAAGGAGAGAAAGTCATGGTGTGGCCTCCATCCTCCCCTGACCTTAATCCTATTCAGAACCTTTGGAGCATCCTCAAGAAAAAGATCTATGAGGGTGGGAGGCAGTTTACATCCAAACAGCAGCTCTGGGAGGCTATTCTGACATCTTGTAAACAAATTCAAGCAGAAACTGTCCAAAAACACACAAGTTAAATGGATGCAAGACTTGTGAAGCTGCTATCAAATAAGGGGTCCTATGTGAAAATGTAACGTGACCTGTTAAAATGTCTAAAAAGTTAAAATGTTGTTATACGTTTGATTGAAATAGCTTTTGATTTCAGTAAATATGCTGCAAACATCATCTTCATTTGGAACATCATCCCAATTATTTTTGAATGTATACCTTTTGCTCATATAATGGTTTAATCACATTGATAGCTGTACAGATATTGTTGATTGCTGTGGGGCTTAGCACCTGCAGGATAAAATTGCAAATGATGACTTGATGATAAAAGACAGGACATCAGATTGCTTAAAGGACCACTCTAGGCACCCAGACCACTTCAGCTTAATGAAGTGTTCTGGGTGCCAGGTCCAGCTAGGGTTAACCCATTTTTTAATAAACATAGCAGTTTCAGAGAAACTGCTTTATTAATGGTTAAGCCTTCCCCAAAGCCTCTAGTGGCTGTCTCATTGACGCTAGAACATGCGTGCTTCTCATGGATTTTCACAGTGAGGCATCAGCGTCCATAGGAAAGCATTGTGAATGCTTTTCCTATGTGACCGGCTGAATGCGCGCGCAGCTCTTGCCGCGCGTGCGCATTCAGCCGGCAGGGCGTAACGGAGGCGGAGAGGAGGCAGAGAGCTCCCCGCCCAGCGCTGGAAAAAGGTAAGTTATTACCCCTTTCCTCTCCCCAGAGCCGGCGGGAGGGGGTCCCTGAGGGTGGGGGCACCCTCAGGGCACTATAGTGCCAGGAAAACGAGTATGTTTTCCTGGCACTATAGTGGTCCTTTAAGAGTCAAGCTAGGCGACAACTAGTACCCATGGTCCCAAACTGCCAGGATCACTTTTAGTGGCTACTCAATTCAAGGGATTTTTAATAATGGTTGTAAGAAGCACCAAGATCCCAGTTCAGATAGCGAATTAATAAAACAACAACTTCAGTCAACCTTGGTCTTGGTACAGAGTACTATAGTTTTTATTGTGCCTGGTATGCCCTGGTGCCCCTCAAATATAAGTAGTCCAACAGTTTGCTAATGGTCTGCCTTCTTGCCTGAGGTCTGCCAGACGTAACAATCCTCTTTATGTTTGTAGAGACACAAGTTTCTGTTAGGAGCTTCTCTTAGCTCTCATGAGGCTGTGTGGGACCTGCTCATTGGCTAAGAGTGTTAGCCAATGGCTTTCAGCCAATGAACTAAGCTATGCACAGTTGAGCTTAGCTGAGAGTTTCTGGTTGTCATAAATGGCAGTGAATGACGCCTGGCACATCCGAGGTAAGAAATCAAACTGTTAGCGGCGTACATTCCGCGGTCGCAGGGGATCACAGCTGCAACCGGGCCGGTCACTCCAGGGGGCCCCGCTGCCCTGCGGACTCCTGCAACCAGGTGCCTGCCGCCATGTGTTGCGGCCCAGGCCATGCAGTATAATTGCTGGGGCCACAGGTGAAGGGGCCCATCGGGTTGCCAATGCTGTTAGGGCCACCTGATGGAAATGAATTGAAATGAATATCATCATCAGAGTGGGCCGAGTAACAGCGTGACCGGACCAACTCTGATGATGTCAGACGCTGGGAGGAATGACTGCCACGGTCACTCCTCCCAGCAACCACCAGAAGCTGCGCGGGAGGAAGCAGAGGGAGTCAGAGTGGGAACTCTGACTCCCATCAACCTGAGCCACTGGACCCCAGGGAAGTCACCCTCCTGCCCCTAAAAGGTAGGTAATAGGAGGGTGACTAAAATATTTTGCATGTGTGAGTGTCTCTGTGTGTCTGTGTATGTGTGTCTATGTATGTGTGTATGTGTCTGTATGTGTGTCTATGTATGTATCTGTGTGTATGTATGCATGTGTGTGTATCTCTATGTATGTGTGTCTGTATGTATGTGTATGTGTGTCTCTGTATGTATGTGTCTCTGTGTGTGCCTATTTATGTGTGTGTCTGCGTGTGTGTGTGTGTGTATGTGTGTCTGTATGTATGTGTCTGTATGTGTGTATCTATGTATGTGTCTGTATGTCTGTGTCATTGTATGTGTATGTATGTGTCTGTATGTATGTATGTATGTGTGTCTCTGTGTTTCTCTATGTGTCTGTATAGGGTGGTGTTGGAGGGGATGGGGTGGATGGTGGGGCACCATAGATTAGTTTTGCAACGGGGCCCCGTGGATTGTGTGTACGCCAATGCTTAAAGTGTTCCTTTAAGGTCCATAAAGTATAAGGGTAGTCATCAACAAAGTGTTTTTACACTTTGTGTATTTCAAAAAACAAAAAGCATGCTGTAGTGGTTAGCGCTTGTACAATACTGATATAGTCCAAAGGCAGCTCGATCACCAAAAGCAGAGTTTCTCTTGTCCGATAGGGGGTAGTATAAAACAGGAAAAGAAGGTGCAGCGTCTGAAGTGTCCTTTAGGGAATGTATACAATGATAAAAAGGACTGATAGTGTAGTAAGCTAAAAACTTATTGACATCACTTGATCATATATATGATACTAAGTTTGTCTGTACTTACAACAGCCTGTTCTATTCGTACGTACTATAGCCTAGTCTCATATCTGTCTTCTATATATAATAATTTTTCGTTTGATCTTCAGAATATTTAAAGGACCACTATAGGCACCCAGACCACTTCAGCTCAATGAAGTGGTCTGGGTGCTAGGTCCAACTAAGGTTAACCCTGCCTGCTGTAAACATAGCAGTTTCAGAGAAACTGCTATGTTTACCTATGGGTTAATCCAGCCTCTAGTGGCTGTCTCACTGACAGCCGCTAGAGACGCTTCCGCGCTTCTCACTGTGAAAATCACAGTGAGAAGATGCCGACGTCCATAGGAAAGCATTGAGAATGCTTTCCTATGGACTGGCTGAATGCGCATGCGGCTCTTGGTATGCATGCGCATTCAGCCAATGACATCAGAAGAGGAAGGAGAGTCCCCAGCGCCGAGAGAGCCCGGCACTGGAGAAAGGTGAGGGTCGGGGCAATCTCAGGGCACTATAGTGCCAGGAAAACGAGTTTGTTTTCCTGGCACTATAGTGGTCCTTTAAAATAATCTCAGGTTTGTCATGTGGTAAACGCATTACATTATTAATCATGTTTCCTTTTTTGATGTAGGTATTTGGCATAATAAATTTGACCCCAGCATGACTGTGCAAGATACATTTCATATAAACGATGAACTGACAGTCCCAGTGGATATGATGACAGCCCAGAAATTTCCTCTTCGCTGGTATAATCATGAGCTTCTCGACAGTCAGGTAAAATGTTAACTCAGAACTGGGATGGTTTTTGAGATCTCCACAAATGCCAAGCATGCATTTTTATAACACAGCTTTTGATACTAGCATCAGGCTCTGCTTTATTAAGGTTTTAGTGAGATCGTAAAACCTTAATAACGTTTTGGTGGCTTGTCTGTTTGCCTGCCTGCCTCAGTCTGTCTGTCTGTCTGTCTAGCTATCTAGCCATAAATAGGCCTATGAAATTCAACAGCCAAAAGCTGTTTACATTTTTGACTATTTGCCTGATGACTGCAGCCAGGTAAATAGGGGTCAATATTATTACCACGTTAGTACAAGGGAGTAGTTACACCTCCTCTATACCCCCACTCACCATTCTGCTAAACAGCAGCTACTGCAGCCATTATTAATATACATAGGGGACCCAGCACAATTTACACAATTCTTAGGCAGTATGTGTGTATGGATGTAGGTATTAGGCAGTGTGTGTTTATGGATGTAGGTATTAGGCAGTGTGTGTGTGTATGGATGTAGGTATTAGGCAGTGTGTGTGTGTATGGATGTAGGTATTAGGCAGTGTGTGTGTGTGTATGGATGTAGGTATTAGGTAGTGTGTGTTTATGGATGTACGCGTTAAGCAGTATGTGTATGGATGTAGGTATTAGGCATTATGTGTATGGATGTACGCATTAAGCAGTATGTGTATGGATGTAGGTATTAGGCAGTATGTGTGTGTATGGATGTAGGTATTAGGCAGTGTGTGTGTGTGTATGGATGTAGGTATTAGGTAGTGTGTGTTTATGGATGTACGCGTTAAGCAGTATGTGTATGGATGTAGGTATTAGGCAGTATGTGTGTTTATGGATGTAGGTATTAGGCAGTGTGTGTGTATGGATGTAGGTATTAGGTAGTGTGTGTTTATGGATGTACGCGTTAAGCAGTATGTGTATGGATGTAGGTATTAGGCAGTATGTGTATGGATGTACGCATTAAGCAGTATGTGTATGGATGTAGGTATTAGGCAGTATGTGTGTTTATGGATGTAGGTATTAGGCAGTGTGTGTTTATGGATGTAGGTATTAGGCAGTATGTGTGTTTATGGATGTAGGTATTAGGCAGTGTGTGTTTATGGATGTAGGTATTAGGCAAAAAACTTTTAACAACTTTAATTTCCTAGGACAAAATGCAGAAACTGTTCTCTAATAGCAGTTGTTTATTTTACTTGTAAATCTGACTCCTATATATCCGTTGTTTACTTGATTGAGTATATTTATTGGTGACTTTCATTTAGGTGGCCAAGTTACCTTTCAAAGGAAATATGAGTTTTGTTGTTGTTACACCCTTTCAATTTAAATGGAATATTTCCAAGCTCCTGGACAACTTTAATCAAAGTGACATCTACCATCGTTTCCCAAGGCCAAAGCAAACTTTGTTTAGAATGCCAAAACTAAATCTGGACTTTAAACTAGAGCTAACTCAGGCTCTGAGCAATCTTGGTAAGAACCAATATGGCTACATTTAAGATGTTCATCTCTGTAATGTGACTGAAATTTAGAACAGTATATTGGCATAGCCTTTCTCCAAAAGATATTATGAATAACTGTTATCTAATTATTACAGAAAAGTGGCACATACAGTTAAACATATAACTGGTTTGCGTTTACAGGAACAGTCCGTGCACCATAGCCACTAACTAGAACCACTATAAGCCCTAGTATCATTATAAGCAGTCAAACCACTTTGATGTAATGTGTGGGATCTGCCTGGTGTTGTTTCCCATCTCTTCTCAGCCTCCAGAAGAGCCAGCATATCTTGTAGATTCTATAAGCTATTCTGAACTAAGTCCTGCAGTGTAAAGGAGGTTCATTAGTTAAAATCATTGCCGGGCAGGGGCGAACCTAGAGCATTTGGCACCCGGGGCGGATCCCTGGCCCCCCCCCCCAAATAAAAAACCTGTAAAAAATGTTACGTTTTTTTTTTTTTTTTTTCACAATTTGTAAACTTTGCAGAACCGCTGTCAGCCCCTCCTGCAAAGCCCTTGTCCTGCCCCGCCCCCTCCTACAAAACCCCTGTCCTGCCCCCTTCTACAAATCCTGTACTGCCCCCATCTACAAAACCCCCACAATCCCCTTCCACAAATCCCCTGCTTATCCCCCCTTATAAAGACTCCTGTCCCAATACAAAACCCCTGCCCCCTTCTACAAAATCCCTGCAGCCCCACGCACACATTTACAGGCAGACAGTCACACACTCAGTTACAGACAGTCACACACTCAGTTACAGGCAACATCAAACAGTCACAGGCAGACAGTCACACATACATAGTCACATGCAGTCACACACACAGTTATAGGCAGACAGTTACACACACAGTCAGTTACAGGTAGTCACACACAGTCATAGCCAGACAGTCACGCACAAAGTTACAGACAGACAGTCACATATACAGTCACTCACTCACACACACAGCCACAGGCAGAGAGTTACACACACTGCCCCGTCTACAAAACCCCCACAATCCCCTTCCACAAATCCCCTGCTTATCCCCCCTTATAAAGACTCCTGTCCCAATACAAAACCCCTGCCCCCTTCTACAAAATCCCTGCAGCCCCACACACACATTTACAGGCAGACAGTCACACACTCGGTTACAGACAGTCACACACTCAGTTACAGGCATACAGTCACACACAGTTACAGGCAGACAGTCACACGCACACAGTCACACATGCAGTCACAGACAGTCATGCACACAGTCACATGCAGACAGTCACGTATACATTGACACACACACACACAACAGCAGCAGACAGTCACATCCACACAGTCACAGACAGATATTCACACACGGTTACAGGCAACATCAAACAGTCACAGGCAGACAGTCAGGCAGACAGTTACACACACAGTCAGTTACAGGTAGTCACACACAGTCATAGCCAGACAGTTACACACACAGTTACAGGCAGACAGTCTCACACACACACATACACACACACACACACAGTTACAAGCATACAGTTACACATACACACATACACACAAAGTTACAGGCAGACAGTTACACACAGACAGTCTCACACATACACATGCACACACACATTTATAGGCATACAGTTACACACATACACACACAAAGTTACAGGCAGACAGTTACACACAGACAGTCTCACACACACAAATACAGTTACAGGCAGACAGTTTTACACACACACAGTCACACAGACACACACAGACACACACTCTTACTTACAGACAGTGGGCTGGAGGAGGACTGGATTCCCTGAAGTCCTTCCCTGAAGTCTGTGGAGAAGCAGGTATTCCATCTTGCTGCACCTCCTAACAGCAGCGGGTAAGGGCCATATTAAGCCCTGCCCCCGCTGCCGGTTTGGCTCCGCCCACGTTTTTGCTTATCTCCACCCCCACTTTACCTCCGTGCGGCCAGTTCAGCAGCTTGTGTGAGCTGTTCTGGCCGCCCCGGCACCCTAACTGCCATTGGGGGGGGTACTGTGCGGCCGTACAGCTCACACAGCCCCCTCCAGCTCCCAGACCAGGTCATGGCACCCCCCACCCTGGTGGCACCCGGGGCGGACTACCCCCTCCGCCCCCCCTTAGTACGCCACTGTTGCCAGGTTTAGTTCAATTCTAAAATAGTTTGATTACTTATATAAGGAGGGCACCATGGCATTCTGAAGTGGTTATGATGCTTGTAGTTTTAATTTAAACACAATTTATCTGGCACAAAAATTAAAAGTAAAGGGTGTTAAATTGTTTTCAAATAATCTTTTAGATAAACACAAATGTACATGGACGGTGTTAAAATTGAAACTGAAAATCTTGTCTTTTTTGCTATATATGTATATATATTTTGGCTACCCTTAATGCTTTTAAAAAGCTCCCCAGCAAACATTGGGGGAGGGGGGACCTACGTCTGACATTGACATCCCATTGGCCAGCCCCTCTGTGATGTTTGGCTGTTCGTCCCAATTCTAGTTGACACTAGTCAACTAAAAAAATCCATTTAAAAATCCCACACACACAGATGTTGAAGTCTTCGGTGTCATGTTAGAGGTGACACAGTTACATTAGAGCAGGGAGAAGACAGACACATGCATGCAAATAGTGAATGTTAAAAATTAAAACACAAAATAGATTAAATATTTTATAACGGATTGGAACTGTAAATAAATGTTTAACTTTTTGATGGTAGTGATCATTTAATTGTGGTTTACTACAATCTCGAAATTATGAAAGTATACATATACATATCATTTAAGATCAGGGCCAGCCCATCCGGCTCCAGGTGACACTTTTACAGGGGTGGCATTTTGCCACCCCTGTATACTGTAAAGTGCCTGCTATGTTGCCTGGGCCAGCTATGCATATATATAGTGATTACCGCTCTATATATATATATATATATATATATATATATATATATATATATATGCAGCTCTGGGCCCCCGCTTCCTTGTCCTGTGGAGAGGGGGCCCAGTGGTCTGATCTTCGCCTCCTGCAGCTTCATATCTGCTCGTCTTATAACACCGCGAGAGCATTGCAGTGGATTATCATGGCAACGATCAGGCATGCATAACGTGCCTCACGGTGCGTTGCCATAGCAACCTGTGGCTCGCAAGTGCAGAAGACATGAAGCTGCAGAAGGAAGATCAGGTCACTGGACCCCCTCTCCACAGGACACAGCAAAATGTGCCACTGGATCACCATGGAAACTAGTGCCCCCCTGATTACAGGTAAGAGGCAGGGAGGGGGAAATACACTATATCATACTTAAAATAAAATTTAAAAAATCACCCTTCACAGCCCCACTACACACACTATATGTACTCCACACAGACACACATACAATGCACACACTACATACACTACACACAGACACTGCATTCACTACATGTACTACACAAAGACACACATACACTGCACACACTACATGCACTACACAGAGACAGAGCATCCATTACATGCACTACACACATACACTGCACACACTACATGCACTACACACAGACACTGCCTTTACTACACACACTACATACACTGCATCAACACATACACTGCATCCACTACACACACACTCTGTATCCACTATACACATGGATACAATGCATTCACATAGACACTCTGTATCTCCGGTTGTGTACGAGGTTTGGGGGGATGGGGGGGGGTGCGCAGCATTTCACCCTTCGACCCAGGCAGCACAATGTCTTGGGCCAGCTCTGTTAAAGATGACAGATAAGCTCTGTAACAAGAGCGAGTGAATTTCCAAACCCTTGCATTGGAAGGAGATGAATTTTGAAAGAACAGATAAAATATACTTTTCTGACCCATATTTATTCAAGTTAATGCTTATTAGAGACAAAACAAATCATATAACGCTTTGTGCAAAATGATGTTTGAAATAAATCAGCAATTATTTTGACTACTAGTAACCTCTTTACTTGTTTTATAGGACTTGGCCAATTGTTTTCAAAACCAGATTTAAGTGGAATTTCAGATGAACCATTGTATGTATCCAGCGTTCAACACCAATCTAATCTGGTGCTGAATGAAGAAGGGGCCCAAGCTGCTGCAGCCACCGCAGTAATTACATCTCGTTCCCTCGCCTCTTATAGCATCAACCGTCCTTTTCTGTTTTTCCTTTTCGATGATGCAACACGTCTGCCACTGTTTCTGGGATATGTTCGTAACCCTAGCCCTGATTCCTATTACAAGAAAAAGGAATTAAATTTCCAGAGCAATCCAGACAAGGGTTCCATACCAAAATAGATGACTATTTTTGTATTAGAGCAGGTGTGCCCAAAAGGTAAATCCCCTGATGTTTTAAAACTACAGCTTCCATGATGCTTTGTCATTCTAAAGGCATGCAAAGCATCAGGGGAGTTGTAGTTCTACATCTGGGGATCTATATTTTGGGCACCACTGTGTTAGAGAGAGGCAACAAGTTTCTTAACTATCATCTCGACTAACTGCCACTTCTAAAATTTATACAAAAAACCCACAATTAAAAAAAAAAAAAATTCTATATTTTTTTTTTTGTATCTTTGTGAAAGGTTTATCAAAGTGTTCTGTTCTAAAAAGTGGTGCAAAAAATGTGAAAGGGGAGGAGTCCCCAATGAAATGTGCATGCTGGTTCCACTGGTTTCCACGGTGATTAACCGCGTTTTCGTAGTTTAGACCACTTTTTTTTTTTTAAAAAAAGAACATTTTAACAAATCTTCCCCATTGGTTTAATTCTAAAAATATAGGAATTTTCTTAAGTAACTTGCCAAATTATGGAACGTCTTGTCATGGGATGGATTATAGGAACATTTTACTGATCTTATGGCATTGTACATCTGGATTGCATAAATAATCTTATAAAATACAGGGCTATTTACAGGATGAACCACTGGGGTTGTTTACTAAGATCCTAACCTGAATCGCAAATTTGTGGAAAATCCATAAATTTCTATGTTCAAAACACAACATGCTGTAGTGGTTATGGTGACAGAAGGCACCCCTTAATTTGAGTAGTCATATAGTTTGCTAAGATTTGACTTCTTACCTGGGGTCTCCCAGGCACCACTTCTTGCCTCTCTATAGCATGTAGCTTGTGCATGGTGCTTCTGTTATTGCTTTTGTATTAAGCACTGCCAAGCTCAGTTCAATAAAGAGAGTTTCTGGCTGCAGAGAGGTAGGGTGCAGTGTTCAGTGGACCATAGGTAGCAAACATTTGGCTACTCATACTGGATAGGTGCCAGGGCATTCTTGGCACCATAACCACTACAGTTCTGTGGTAGTTATGGGGCTTCCTTTAATAGGATGACTTGGGCTTCATTTTGAGGACAGTCCAGAGCGGTTGCCTCAATATCATGTTACTTTGGAACAATTCTGTTATTCTATATAAATCATTTGAAGGAAGGTAAATTAAGTGTACTTCAAAAGTAATTCTCTATGTAGCCCTAAATAATTTTCCACAAATTTGTTTGTACAAAATCTGAGTTTAGTGAATTACCCCAGATTTTTACCTCTCTATCCGTACACTAGATGAAAGCCCTTATGCAACATTGATATTTATCGTTTTATGTATTACTAGTCTGTGGGCTCATTGAAGTTGTTGTTTTTTTGTTTGTTTTAATAAACTGTTTTATCTGTATGTGATGTTTAAAGTGGCTTCATTTGTTAACAGATTCCTTGTGATATAGCAACCATCCACATTACTAGATAACAATTAGTACTAAAATCTAAATGCAGAGATCTGTAATTCATTAAGGCTAAGCTCTTCCATAAACAGTCATTTTAAAAGGAAGTTTTTTTTAATCTTTTTTAACTTGGAGTTAAAAAAAAACTTTTGTTTTAAACCATAAAAGCACACTCCAAGCAGCATAATCACTACAGGTTAGGAAGCGATCCTTACACATTTACATTTAATCCTTTTGGATCTCTGTAAATAAGATTTTGTGATCAACTTAATTTGGTTAAACCCCTCAATTGTCCTAATTCAGGTGGGACGGATTTAGTCATCCCAATTTTATTAAAGACACGGAGTCTCCTATTATGCATAACTCTTTCTTTAATTCCCTCAGCAGCAAAGATAGAGAGGGATATAAATGTATCAAAATGAGAAAAACTGTACAGTAACACAAGCAACCAATCACATAACAGAGGAAGTGACTATAAAAGGTTTGTGTTTCCCAGTATCCCCCTCTTTCTTTGCTGCTCCCTAAGACCAGATAAATACTCTCGCATGTCTTAATGCTGCATATTGATATTTATTTGGTTTTTATTGTGGTTATTTATTGCTGATTATCTTTGGGTGTCTGTGTGGTGTGCACTGCCTGGGGTCCACGCTGGAGGTTCTGGTATCCCTTCCTCCACCCTTTTCATAGCGTGGGTGGCTTCTTGCTGGGCTGCCCAACGCTCCCTGCCCATGGGCCGCATTGGGCCGTCGGCAAGTTAGCTGCGGCCCCCCGTTCTGTCCGGGTGGACCGCGTGGATATTAGTGCGCGTGGCCACCCTCCCCCTCGCCCTCTCTGTTCACTGGCCGCAGCTCGTTTTTACCCTCTGGCAGTGGCCATTTTGGTGATGGAACTTTGTCGCGTGTTATTCTTCTCTCACCCAGCGACACCTCTTGCTTAGTCCTGCCGGCTCCTGGGTCCTCTAAACACACCACATGACAGGTTTACTGTACATTTGCCTAATTATTACTTTTCTCCTGTGGGGTATTAAACCCTTCCCTTTTAACTTGCCATTTAACTGTATTATCCTCTTATATCATGCAGGCTATGGGTGATGGGCCTGAGGACAGCATGCCTGGTTTCCCACAAGTACAGGGTGAGGAAAATATGGCCTCTGAGGAGTTTCAGACCCTGCTGGACTCCACCATGGCATCTTCTATCCAGAGAGCCTTTGCCTCTGCCATGGGAGCGGTGTCTTCATCGCTGCCCCAGTTGTTGGCACAAGCCCTGTTGTTGCCCTCTGCGGCTGCCCCTGCCCTACTGGGTCCCCTTTTGCCCCTGACACACCCGGGGCCCGTAAGGCTTTGGCTTCAGTGAAAGACCTCATCTCCCACTCCTTGATGCAGGTACTGCCTGCCATGACGGACTCGCTTGAGGCGGTCAAAGATGGCACTCTCCCAACGCGAAAAAAAGCCCCTGGCCGGGCAAAAACGGCCAGATCATGGAAACGTGAGGAGAGGTGGGATACCGACCGGAGTGGGGAGGGTGACTCTGAGGCTATGGAGTATGCCTCTTATGACAAGAGTGATACTGAGGAGGATATTTCCCCTACCACAGTGACCCATCCTGGGGCTGCCACTTCCGCCCAGGGTAGTTGGTCAACGGGTGGGGGTGCGGCGCTTCTAGGTCCTCAGGGTAAATCCCTGTTCGATCCGGATGATCTGCGTCACCCCTGGTCGGCTGAGTGGGAACCCCCTGGGCATATCACTCAGTATATAGCGCATCATATGCGCACCCCCCTCTCTAAAGAGGGGCGCAGTAAACTGCGCGCGGAGGGCCCCAGTCCTTCAATACCCAGCTCTGCCTCTAAGTCCTTCAAATCGCCCAATTCCTGAGCAAGTCAGGCTGGAAGCCCAAGAAGGGTCTTGACTTCTCGCTAAAGAGTTGTCAGGATAAGATCATGGACACGTTGGGGCCCTTGTAAAAGGTCTATGAGCTGCTAGAGTCCTCTAAGGCATGTGAGTCGGAGTTGGACCTAGACGTCGCCATCAGCTGGGTACAGCGGGCTATCTACCTTCTTGGTAGAGCCAATACGGCTATGTCAGCCGAACGCCGGAAGGCGATACTCTTAAAGATTGACTCTAAGCTGGCGAATATGGCCATATCAGAGACCGGTCCCGCAGCTGAGGGAATGCTGTTTGGGGACAGTTTTGCCAGGGACCTGGGGTCCTACGTGAAGCTGTTCATGGCGATTGATAAAGCCCAGGCGACGATTAGGAGAGTTTTTTATCCAAAGGTTTTTGGAGGGGCTGGGCGTAGTAGGAGCCGTCCACCTGGCCGTGGTTTCCGGGGCTCATTCCGAGCCACTCAAGGTTCCTTCTTCCCTACACAGGGATTCCATGACGCCAAGGCTCCGACCTTCTTACCATCCAGAGGGAGACCATGGAACTCTTGCTACTCTTGAGGTGCCCCGTTGGGCAGACGCCCTTATGGTGAGTACCCATTTTTCCCCTCACTCTCACGTGTGGGTGGCGGGCAGGTTGGCCCAGTTTTACCACGGGTGGGCTGCCTTGACATCGGACTCTTGGGTTTTCCAAACTGTACGGGGTTATCACCTCGATTTACGGTCTGTGCCTGTTCAGTATTGTGTCCCCAGGGAACTCAGCCTGTCGATGGAACAGGAGTCTTTGATCTCCTCGGAGATTCGAGAATTGCTTGCAAAAGGCGCGATCCAGGAATTGGCGTACACTTACCCGGGCTTCACAAGCAATTTTTTCTTGGTGCCAAAAAAGGGAGAAGGGGTCCGCCCCGTGATAAACCTCCATCCTCTCAATGCTTTACTTTGGTACCAACACTTCCAGATGGAGAGCATCCATTGCCTCTGAGATCTCCTTCAGGCGTCGGACTGGTTGGCTAAACTGGACTTAGGGATGCATATTTCACGGTTCCCATTAGCGAAGTAGATCTTTGCATCCCGGCTGAACGCCCAATTACCAAAGTTTTACAGTTGGATCCCAGATCCAGCGGCCGTGGTAACGGACGCCTTCATTCAGGCTTGGCCAGATGCTCGGCTGTATGCCTTCCCCCTGTTCAACCTAATTGTGCGCACGCTCTCGAAATTGGTCTGTCACGACTGTACTATAGTGTTGATCACTCCTCTGTGGAGATCACAACCGTAGTTCCCTCAGTTACTGGAAATGGCAATAGATTACCCGCGCTTGATTCCAAACTTCCAGAATCTCTTTCTGGATCCGGATGGGAAAACGCACGGATTAGTGGATCAGGACCTCCTACACCTGATGGCATGGCTCCTTTCTGGGAACCTTGGACTATCCCGGGCGTTCCGCAGACAACTCTCCTTCTCCTCGACAACGCATGTGCGCCAGGTACTCGGTTTGCCGATCGCTCATCATGGCGATTGTGGTCTAGTTGGTGCATGGGACGAGCACTAGATCTCATATCTGCCCGTTTACATATGATTTTGGAGTTTCTCACGGGCATGTTCGAGTTGGGGAAGGCGTATCGCACCACAAATTTGTTTCGTCTGTCATCTACTCAAAGGGATTTGCTTTACTCGACTGCCTAAAGCTAGGTTCTATGCCTTTTGGGACGTCAATGTGGTGTTGCAGTTCTTGATATCTTGGTATCCGAATCGGGATTTGACACTTAAACAACTGTCCGTTAAGTTGGTGATGTTGTGCTGCTTGATTTCCTGCAAGCGAGTGTCAGATGTCAGGGAACTTGATTGGGATGCTGTTACATTTACCCCGGAGGGTATTTCCTTTAAAATCTCCAGGAGGACGAAGTCAGCCTCGAAATTCTTTGTTTATCCTAGTTTCCAGGGCATCCCGGTACTATGCCCGGTAAAATGTTTGAAGACATATGTGGATGCTACTCGATGCCTGCGATAATCGGATCTTCACCCTCTATTCATTTCCTTCTGCACTCCTCTTCTCCCCGTGTCGACTCCTACGTTGGCGTGTTGGGTTTGTTGGCTGTTATCTTTGGCTGGAATTGACATGTTGATTTTTACGCCACATTCAGTGTGGGGAGCCATGGCATCTAAGGGTTCAGCGGTTGGTTGTCGTCTAGAGAATATTTTACGGGCTGCTGATTGGTCGCGAAAATCAACTTTCCATGATTTCTACTTCAGACCAATTGAGCACATTGCATCTCAAGTGGTGGCTCAGCTTTGAACCTGCATAATAGGAGCCTCCGTGTCTTTAATAAAATTCCCAGATTTTACTATTAACATGACGTAAAGTAATGATTTTATTAAAGACACGGAGGCGAGTATTATTCCCACTCGCCCTCCCGATTATGGGGGTGTTTGTGATACGACAACATTTGGATGATTCGGGAAGTGTTCCATTTGGGATTTGTCTTCTCTATGTATATGTTTTGGTTATTTCTATGGATTTTCGTGATATGGTTATTTATTAATCATGTATTCTGTTTTATAGGTTTGATTACCTGGCCTGGATTATAACAGATTTGTTTTGTGATTATTCCGGTTTGGAGTTTGGAAATTACCATATTTTTCTTTGTCCCCCTTTTGACTTGAAGTTATCGCTCCGATCTGTTTTCCTGTTGATTCCGGTAGATAGGTTCGGTTCGTGGTTACTGGTCTTTGGTTTTTGCAAGAAAGAGGGGGATCTTGGGAAACACAAGCCTTTTATAGTCACTTTCTCTGTTATGTGATTGGTTGCTTGTGTTACTATACAGTTTTTTTCTCATTTTGATATATTTATATCCCTCTCTATCTTTGCTGCTGAGGGAATTAAAGAAAGAGTTATGCATAATACTCGCCTCCGTGTCTTTAGTAAAATCATGACTTTACGTCATGTTAATAGTAAAATCTGGGAATTTTGCTCTCTGGTGTGCCTCATTAGGGGCAGCAAGGAATAGACATAACAAGCACAGCACAAAATAGTGTTTCATTAGATACACTCGTGTAGTGCTAGGGGCATTAGGATCATGCAGAAAGTACGTTAGCAGTACAATCTGACCTCAAAGGTATCTTCCAATGTGATTGCCAAATCCTTGGTGATGACTAAGGCAAGTACTACATTATTCTTAAAACTGTCAGGAAATGGTTATATGCCATTGCAAAAACATAGGTGGTACCTCCTTACAAGGATACTCCAGGATGGATTAGATCACTTAATTTGTGTAAAAATAGATACAAAAACAGCAAATTCTAAATAATTTAAAAATGGGGTTTAATAGATTTTAAACATTTATAATAATGAATACAATAGGAGATGTAAATTCACGCAGCAGAATATGTCTTTACAGTATTTCACTTTTTGATAATGAGAGAAATGAATGTGGCTCTTTGCAACATAAAAATACATAACCAGGAAACACTAAATTGGTAATGGCCCCAAACGATAAATATTAATCTGTAAATTAAACTTTAAAAACCCTAGTGATGTGAAGTGTTTACAATGTACTTCTTAAGTTCATAATCCTCTATGGAAATGATTAATGATAATGGAAATGATTAAACACAAAATAAAGACTCTTTATTAAATTGTAAATAACTACAGGGCTTATTTAACATGGAAAAATTAAAGGGATACTGTAGGCATCAAAACAACATTTTGAAGCAGTTTTGGTGTATAGATCAAACTGAGCAACCTCACTGCTCAATTCTCTGCCATTTAGGTGTTAAATCACTTTTTAACTAGATACAATGACAACCGCAAAAGCTCCAAATGACACCTTATTGGAAGAAAATAATGCCTGCTGCTCTAATGTTAAAACACGTCCTGAGGAATATCAGACAATTATTTACAACAGGCTTAAGGTTCTCCGCAAAGAAAGGACGAATACATATTATAAAAGAAGACACCATGTTTGGACATCAAACAGCTGCAAACACAACACAGGTATATCCTAAAAAAATGTTTTTGTTAAATATATGTGTGACACAATTATTGGCACCCTTTTAGTCAAAACTCTGTGCTACCTCCCTTTTCCAAGATAATAGATCTGAGTCATCTCCTACGATGCCTGTTGAGGTTGGAGAATATATGGCAAGGGATCTGAGACCATTCCTCCATTCACAATCTCTCCAGATCCTTTAAATTTCAAGATTGAGGTTGGTGGACAGATTTTCCATGGGGTTGAAGTCAAGACTGGGGCAAGGCCTTGATTTTGTGGTCAGTAAAACATTTTTGTGTTGATTTTGATGTATGTTTTGGATCATTGTCCTGCTGTAAGATCCAACCACTGCCCATTTTAAGCTTTCTGGTAGAGGCAGTTAGGTCCATTATGCCATGTATCCTTGCAAAATGTCCCGTTCCTGTGACAGAAAAACAGCCCCAAAACATTAAAGACCCACTATAATTAACCATGGGCATGAGGTACTTTTTCATATGGCTACCTCTCTTTGTGCTCCAAACCCACCTCTGGAGTTTACTGCCAAAAAGCTCTGTTTTGATTTTATCTGACCAAAGAATCAATCCCATTTGAAGTTCCAGTTGTGCAATTCTCCATCTGTGGTCCCTGGAGATTTTTGCACACAAAACATCCTCTTTAAAGTGCATTGAGACAATATAGACACACATCTTCTAGGTTGATTCATAACATTTCCAGTTGACTGGATCTTCTTAAATATTGCCCTGATGCTGTAAATGGGTATTTTCAATGCTTTTGCTATTTTATTATATCCACTTTCCATTTTGTGAAGCCCATCAACCTTTTGCCGCACATCACAGCTATATTCCTTGGTTTTGCCCATTGTTATGAACGACTAAGGACATTTAATCTTTGTGTTACCTCATATTTATAGACCTGTAAAACAGGAAGTGGTGATTGAACAATTTCCTGTCCCTAGTCACTTAGCTGTACTAAAAAAAGGAAAATATTAATGGGAATATGCTTCAAATTAAATTTTTCTCATATAAAATCATAGGGATGCCACACATATATTTAAAATAGATATTTAACAAAGATCAAATTTATGCTTATCGTGTGAAATCATAGGTATGCCACACATATATTTAACAAAGATTTTTTTTTTTATAAACCTGTGGTGTCTTTGCAATTGTTTGATATCCATGAGAGCAGAGAATGTTTGTGTATTTTTTTAACAAAAGATCAACAGGTTAAACAATAAAGACACATTTTCACAACGTTGTTTGCTCATACTTACCATCGGTGCCCATATTAGTGGAGGGCATTGTACATGCTAAGAAACTCACACAGAACCAGTTCACGTTATAAAGTAGGTGTCAGAGATTCTCTGGAAAATTAGAAACAGGATCTATTAAAGCCCTCCCAAAAAAATGCACAGTATCATGAGAATATATCACATTTATTTCAGGACATAAAATATCTCGCATTAGGTTGAATATGCACACGATCTTCACCGATGCCACCAAACCTTCTTCAGGTGTATGCAGACACCAAACTGAGAGTCTACATATATTTATAGTCCCTCTGATTAGTCACCCTATATTGTGCCAGTTCAGTGCTTTTACATGGTTACACCGATGCCCTTACATTATATCTTCTCTCATGAGGTGCAAGGCTGTTAGATTCCATATCCCATTTCAGCATTATGATCTTGCATAATGACACTTCCAGTATATGACCAAACTGGAAGAAAATGAAACGCCATCTCGAAAGTTCAGTGAAGGCAGTGATTAAAGGGGCACATCATACTAAAACCATAGTGGGAAATAACCCACAATTCCAGAATAGACTAAAAAATAGAATTAAAACCTACAAATAGAAATTACATGAAAGACGGATTAATAAAAGATCAAAGGAGTATGAACCAATAAAAGATAGAAAATAAATAAACTAATAACATACAATTATTGAATAATGTGATTTATTTCACAATCTATGTTCATTGGATAGAGAGTCTCCATATGAAATATCCACCTCATCTCTGTTGTGCTTACATTTTTATGAAAGTCACCACCTGTCCAATATCTTTTAACATGGTGGATGTGCCAAAAATTTAAAAATGTGGGATTTCCACCATTTAAAAATGCAAAGTGGGAAGATATTGAGTGATTTAAAGACATATTTTTTGATTTCTGATATGTTTATTAATCCTCACTTTGAGAGTTCTGGATGTATTTCCGGGTTTGCCGATTAGAGTAAGGTATAGTCAGCCCTGTCTAATCAGACCTCAAGCCCTTGTGATATATGACAGGATGAGTGAGCTCCATATCCCCGAGGGGGGCAATTTTTAGGGCCTTTGTGTTTCAAGCATAGGAGTGGTGAGGAGTACACCTAGGTGCATGGGCTCCCAATAAGTATGTGTAGGATGTGCAAATCAAATGTAATTATGTATTGAGTCAGTTAAGGCAACAAAAATATAGAAAATAAACATAGCAAACAAAACAGTAACGGTATGGTGAGGCAGAGAACTGGGATTTTGCAACTCTTCATGCTTCTATGTCAGACGATGACTACAGTTATGTCCAGTCGTCCTGGAGCACTAGATCCCAATGGGGTAAAAACCGCAACGTTGGCAACATCCCAGCGATGCCCCAATTTGGTGGTGGCACTCGTGGTCGAGGTAAGTTTCAATGCCTGCAGGAACGTCGAAGCCTCCGATGGGGAAGTCAGTCGGTGCTGATGGCCGTCTTTGTTGATTATGAATGCTCTCAGGTTGCCCCATTTATATGGGATGTCGGCAGCTCTCAGTTGGGAGGTTACCCCTTTAACAGACACTCTCCAGTGCAGCGTTTGACGGCTTAAGTCATGAAAAAAACTCAGCAAGTGTTCCTCAAACGTATACCGGGTTTGTCCCCTAACTGCCCGCATAAATCCTTCTTTGTCGTTGCGTATCTTAAAGCACAGGATGACATTTCGAGTCGCAGTAGCTTGGTTGCGAGAGCAGCCGGGGATGTGGTACAGGCCGTCTAACGACAATCCTTTTGCCTGTCTGGGCGTCAGGGTTGTGGAGAATAGCCTCTGAATGAATTGAGGTAATTCAGCGGCATCCATAGTATCCGGGATCCCCCTCACCTTCACATTGTGCTGTTTTGCAGAGACTTCCAGGAGTCCAAGCCTCTTACTCAGCTGGGTACATATTGCTGTGAGCTCCTGCATGTGTGTATCAGTGGAGCCTTGCTTTATTTGCAGGTCATGAACATCTTCTTCAGCGGCTTGTATCCGACCTGTGAGTGTTCAGCTCTTCCTTCAACACGGCCAGTTCCGAGGTGAAGAAGGCCTTAAGATCCGACACCATATTGGTGATGTCAGATTTAGTGGCAAGTGGGGGTCCTTGCAGCTTTTGAGGAGGTACTTGGTCCTTACACAGGCGAGTCTGTGCCTCCTCCACACCAAAATCCTCAACTTGCGATACTGAAAGCGACTTTTGTGCTGAGTCAGGGAGGTAGTCGGCCATCTTGGGCCTGCCCGTCTGTGAGTGGAGTTGGCCGATATTGTGGGTAAGCCCCTCCCTTATCCCTCGGATCTTCTTGGAGTGTTTTCCCATAGTTCACTGGTGCGGGTGGTATGTGGCAGGGTGTTGTGATGCGGTTAGAATCTGTTCTATATTGTGGTTTTAGGTTAAGTCGTACCGAAGCTCAGACGCCATGCGACTTGTCAGCTCACCTGTTAGCCCCCCCTTTTTTTTAATGGTTGACTCTTACAAGCCATACAAGCCCCACACTAAAAATTACTTTTATTATTTACATTAAAAAAATGAAGCAAATCACACACAGATGGCTTGTTTCTCCTTCCGTGTTTTCTCAGTGAGATTTTTCCTACTCTTTAACAATATCTAGCAACTCTTGGTGTTTGATATTGAGTCTCAGGATTTTCCTCCAGTCCTTGTCTCACAATGTATTGGTTTAATTTAACCCTGCGTCACAAAACCTGAAGAAAACTTCTCCATGTACTTATTTAGAAGATTACATGTCACATGTGCACGCAGTCTCTGTGTTTAAAATTAGTATGTTGTATTAAATAAGGGTAAGAAATTGGGGGCGGAGCCAAGCGGCCATGCTGAGCGGTCGCACATGAGAAGAGCTCCGTGCAAAATTGCTCACAATCAGCCAAAATCGGGGCAAAAAAACCCACCAAATCGACGGTTAGGCGACCTGGAGAAGGGAGCCCTAAACCACAGAACCAAGCGACAAGCATCCCGACCGAAATCAGCGGCTTCTTACCGGGGATAGACCATAGGCCTACTACAGGCCCGCTCGGACAAAGCCAGGGAGGCGGCCGATTCCTACGCTGACTGCAGCCACTCACCTGGAGGTTTCCCTGGCATACTCCCTCCCCCCCTGCCGGTGAGGGATATTCCGGCAACTAGAAGCAAAACTACAGCGGTGACTGTTCCACACAGCCGGAACAGCACCAGCAACCATGGCGGTCACCACGTGTAACCATCTGAATAGCGCCCCACTACCCCCTCTGGAAGAACCCCCTCTTGGATCGCCTGTTTGTCGCCTTTTGGGCCAAATTATACCACCACGGGGGCACAGAAGTGGAGACCCCACCAGCAGCAACCCAAGTAAAGGCCGGGCAGAGACCCTCGGCTCCTGTCCGGGGTAATGGCAAAGCTAAAATGGCGGGAAAGAGGAGGCGGACGACCCGACACAAACCTCGACACCGCAGACCAAGACTAGCGGTGAGTCGTCCTACCCCAAACAGGGACTACCCCTTTGCAGTCTCTCCACACTCCGGAAGACCAGCACCCACCATGTGGAGAACCCACACAAGAGACCGCGGAGACATAAAGCTGAATCTTGCCGCACTCCCACAGCACCCCTGAGAACTCATACCCAAGTAACTGACCTGCCTCACACGCTGACGACAAAAGCGGCTCAGAGTCAGACACCTTTTCAGGCTATAACACCCCTACACAAGTGGGGCATAGGCTGAAATGACCACACCATGGAGGCACCAGCCCCCCCAACGCGAGATGCAGGCCGATCGGAAGATTGGCGCACAAGCCCTACACACTCGCACTGGGACTCTCTCATGCAGATACCGTTAATCTGGTTTTGCCTAAAACGCACCCCTAACATGACTTTGCGCAGCACCTTATAATGTGTTATGTTCATTTATTTCACATGTAATTTAAGTGTGAACCTTAATGCATGCTAAAGTCTCTAACCACCAGGAAAGCCTGTACTTTATAAGCCCAACAGCCTAAAACTGACTAACCATAATCTTTAGCGCAGATCGTATGTTGTTATAAAGTATTCTGTCCTGGCTAATTGTGTACCCTGAAAAGCGACATCAACATATATATACTGTGACAAACTTACTTTCCTGTGTGTGTTTGTCCAGGATCTTTTGGCAACCGCACAGCCCTCTAGGGTAAGAAAACCAGGTCAAGACAAAGTCCAGTTTCAAAAAGGCCTCTGGCCTGTTTATTTTCTGTTGTTGTGAAGTAACAGGATACAATGAACAGCAAATCTTCTCTCCCCACAAAAACACCTTCTTTCTCCTCCAAAACACTTCCCTCACTTCACTCTGCTTTAACTGCAGTTATATAGCTGCTCACAGCCCCTACAGGTGAGGCTAATGACCTCGTTAGGCAGTGAGCCAGAACTCTATGGAAAACCTGGGCTGGACTCATGCACAGCCATTCTGACAGTGGGTGGAGAATCGGCCCACCCTGCTCTTCTGAATACTCCACCCCAGGGACCCAAATAACAACAGAGGAAAAAAAACTACATTTAAACTTAACTTTCCCTGGGGCTGCATGTGCTTAACCACATGTCAGGATATTGGCTGTGCAAAAATCTGGGTGCCAGATATACACCCCTGACCACCATCCCCAACACTCTGTTACAATACATAAATGGGCAATATCATCTAACGCCTAACTAAGGCAACACCATGCTAGAATTACTGTTAGTATTGTAAGCCTGAGTAACAACGCTCTTACCTTTAGAACTAATCTCCTGTTATTTCATGTTATTTCATGTTACGTATGTTCCCTTGTTCTAACTAACCTTGCACCTCACCTTCTCTGATAAGCAGTTCGGGAGTAAATACCTGACGAGCGACGTTCACATATATATACAAAATGTGCAAGGGGGGCGTGGCCTGGACGAGCATGGTGCAGGACACGGACTAAACTCGCTCCGCACCCCGGGCCGAAAAACTAGCGATCACCAGCGGCATACAGGTGAAACATGGTCCGGACCAAGAGACCCAACACCCCAGGACCGGCGGGGACTGTTTCCCCGAGACGCAATACCGGCCCGATGGACGAGTTCATCGCCACGCCATCGGACCTGAGAGGGCTGCGACCGGCCAACAAAATGGCGCCCGCATCCCCGGGCTCGGAGAGTGCTGGTGAAACCTCTGAAGCAGGTACCCAATTCAGTGAACTGGCCCAGATACAAGCCGAGCTTACCCAGATCTCGGCGAAAATGCTCACGAAGGCAGATACAAGCACAATAGCTCAGGAGCTGCGGGCAGCACTGCGAGAGGAGCTGGTAGGCCTGAGGTCAGATCTCACTGCCCTAGAGCAGAGGGTGGATGAGGTGGAAATAGCAGCGCAGGGCTGTGAAGACCAACACAGGGCAACTGAAGTTGCAGTAACTAGGCAGGGTAACCTCTTGATCACCCTACGCAGGCAGGTGGAGGACTTGGAAAATAGAAGTAGGCGTAAGAATATCAGAATACGCGGCATGCCAGAAACCGAAACAGAGGAAGAACCCCTCCACGCATGTCTGTGCGCCCTATTTACACAGATTTTGGGGGAAGCTGCACCTGAAGAAATCCACATGGATCGCGCACACAGAGCACTGGGGCCGGCGAGAAGAGATGGCAGCCCCAGAGATGTAATCTGCTGTATGACCCTGCAGGACCAAAGAGACATGATCATGGCGGCGGCTAGGGATAGGCCCTCCATTCTGTTCCGTGGAGGGGAAATATCCCTGTACCAGGACCTATCAAGTCTAACACTGGACGCCAGGCGAGAGCTGCGCCCAGTAACGGGTATGCTCAGAGACAAAAGGATCCCTTATCGCTGGGGCTTCCCCTTCAGCCTCCAAGCAAAACACGGCAACACATGGATCACGGCCCGCTGGCCAGAAGAGGTGCCACGCATGATGAGGACCCTTAACCTGCCACCGGTGAGAGTGCGCAACTGGATCCTGGACGAAGCTATAGCGGCACGTAGAGACCCACTGAATCCCTCCAACCCGGCGGTCCCACCAATAGCACGGGCCACCCGGCCACTCCGCAGAGGGGGCCCAAACGGCGCAGAAGAATGACACTCTAGCAGCCGGTCCGGGCCGACAAGAGTCGGGTAAGGCGGGGGGGGGGGGGAAATGACTGGGCACGGAGCTGATAGCGCACATGCAGGGACAACTGGCTGTGGGAGGGCGATCCTGGGACTTTGTTGGGTTGAGGGCATGGGCGAGAAATGCGACCTACAAGGGGCATGGAGCCACTGTAGGGCCTGGGCCAGATTTGAGACCACAGGGACGACTCCCCTATTAAGGGCTCTGACCCCTGGGAGATGACTTGCGGGACATAGCCTGAGGTACACGGCGACTGGCCCAGTACTAAACAAAGAACTTTACCAGAGGCACAGGCGTGACAGTGGAAAGCCCTGGATGGCACATCACAAAACAGGCTTCTTTGGGAGGGTTGAGGGAGGGCACATTCTACGGCAAGTATCCACGCTGGGTCTCGGGCGCAGACATAGGCCGACCTCGGCCCCCTGGACCCTAGCCTGCAAGCAAAGGGGGAATAGACGGGGGTCAGCCCCCGAAGGGACAACCAGGTCATTCCCCGATAGGGGCCACAAGCATAATAACCATTGCAGTAGCAAATATCCGGAGAGGGGCCGGAGGGGGCGGGGAGCCGGAGGGGGGGTTCTGGCTACTGCTTGAGAACTGTATATAATTGTATGTGCCGACCTGGCCAATTCCCTGGCCCTCCGACATGCGCTCGAGACAGCCGGGGTAGGGGGAGGGGGGTGCGGGTAAAATCCCTGGAAGCACCGGGATAAACACTGTACGGGGTGTGTGGGGAATCGCAATAAGGTGGGGGGCTAATGTACACTAGGCGCTTGCGACTGACGTAAAGCACCCCCCCCCAGGACTGACAGCAAGACGGGCGATAGCTACTGCCCTTGCCTGACTCTTACACACTAGACGTAAAAGTCTATTCCCACAGCGCTCTTAGGGTTGCAGATGACATCATGATGGAGGTGGCACCACCCTCCGGCGCCCCCGCGCTACTATCTAGACCAGACAGGGGAGCCCGACGCTCTGCTCCTCTCCACCCTACTCCCGGACAGGCGGAACCGTCCCGTCCCGACTACTGACCTATGCCCCGGGGTGACCATACTGACTCCCCCCTGAGACACGCTGATGGGGGATGCAGCCTCCCCTCCCCCTGGCCCCGACCAGACGCCTGAACAGGGAGCGATACCCACAGACAGGGATCCCATGAGACCGCAAACCATGAGGAGACAGCCCAGGCGCCCGGCATAACTGAGCCCCGTTTCCCTTATGCCTCCATACGCACTCTGCTTGCCTCGGCCTGGGGGCGGAAAGGAGAAGTGAACGGTTTAACTACTGTAGTTCCTTGGATACACTTGACAACACGGGACACAGATATAATTGGCGCCCTGCTGGTGCTCCAAGGGTCTCGACCCCAGTGACAGACACCACTGTGAATTTGGTGCGGGGGGTGTGGACCACCATTTAGAGGTGCCCCACACTCCACCCTTACCTTAGGTGTACAGTCTCCACAGTTACATTACAACACACCCATCCACATACATACAGACCTCTCACGCTTTTTATCCCCTTCCCCGCCCTCCTCCCGTCCTATCATTCCAGCTCTCTCCCCCTATCTTTCCCCATTCCCAGAGACCATGGGCTCAAGGTACGATCCCGCCCCTCTTCGTCTCTGGTCAAACAATGTCCGGGGGTTGAATGTGCCAGAACGTAGGTCACACCTCTTGCGTTCCTTGGGGGCCGCGAGAACGTCCATCGCATTTCTGCAGGAGACTCACTTCCGAGGGGACACAGCTCCGACACTTAAGGACGCAGGTTTCCCCCAAGGATACTTCGCCAATCACCCAACCGCCAAGAAAGCTGGGGTAGCAATATTGTTTGCCCGTACGGTACCGTTCGAATGTAAGGACACACAGACCGATGAAGCAGGCCGGTTCCTCTTCCTCAAGGGCACTATAACAGGTACCACCTACACGCTAGCCACCATCTATGCCCCAAACATCCGACAGCATAAATTCCTGAGGGGGACCCTCCGTAAATTGGAAAGGTTCCGGGAAGGACTGCTGATCGTAGCAGGCGACCTGAATCTGGCCCTGGATCCACGAATGGACACATCCCGGGGGATTAGTTCTGTTCCGGCCCACTGTGTGCAGTCGGTCCGGACAGACCTACGCGGCGCTGGTCTGGCAGACTGCTGGAGGGTCCTTCATCCAACTGAAAGGGACTACTCTTATTTCTCTGCGGTACATAAGCACTATAGCAGGCTAGACTATATCTTCATAGCTCAGGAGTTCTTACCTTTACTTCTCAGTTCGGAGATTGGACTGCAGGGCTGGTCGGACCATTCTCCCGTTTTGGCAAGCATCAAGTCCCCGTTATTCCGACCCAGAGACAGACAATGGAGGATGAACGAGTCAATTCTTAACGATGGGCCCACGGTGGCGGACATCCGAGCGGCGCTAGTCACATACTTTGAAGAGAACGACACTCCTGAAGTGTCGGCTTTGACGATCTGGGAGGCTCACAAATGCGCTATCAGGGGACACCTAATCAAAGTGTGTACGAGAAGAAAGAAGGAGCAGCAAAGACGCACGGATGAACTGCTGGATCGGATAGCAGCCCTTGAGGGTCTTCATAAAGCCACACAATCGGATGATAGTTACAAAGAGCTGTTGGAGAACAGGAAGCAGTTGCGCGATATCTTGCATCAAAAGCTGCAGTATACGATCCGAAAATCCCAACGCTTCTTCTACGAATACTCGGGTAAATGCGGGCGGCTACTGGCTAGGACTCTACAAAAACAACGGAGGATGTGCTATATCACTAAAATCAAGCCCAAGGACCAACAGGTGACGCAACTGCCAGAGAAAATTACGGAGACATTCAGGGAGTTCTATGAAGACCTCTACAACCTCCCTACGGAACAGTCGGAAGGAGCAGGACTTCGCAAAGACAGGCGGATCGCAGAATACCTTCAACAACACATCACTAACTCACTAAGCCGAGAGGCGGCGGAGGAACTGGAGGCCGCTATAACACTAGAAGAATTACAAATTACACTGAAAGGCTCGAAACTGAACAAAGCGCCTGGCCCAGACGGTTTGCCGGTCCGATACCTGAAGGAGTTCAGCGATGTGCTCCTACCACGGCTTCTACTAGGTCTCAACTCGATACTGGATGGAGGAACATTTCCGAGAGACTCCTTGCTGGCAACAATAACGGTTATCCCTAAAGAGGGCAAGGACCCGGCCATCTGCGCAAGCTACAGGCCGATCTCGCTATTGAACGCAGATCTGAAGCTGTTCACAAAGGTAATAGCAACACGCATAGGAAGTGTACTGCCGGAACTGGTGCACCCTGACCAAGTGGGTTTTGTCCCAGGACGGGAGGCGAGGGATAACACCACACGCGCACTGAACGTCATCCATGCGGCGAAACAAGCGACACAGAAAATCCTTCTCCTGTCCACGGATGCAGAGAAGGCTTTTGACCGCGTGGACTGGAGATTTCTGGCGGCAACGCTACGAGCCATGGGATTTGGCCCCCGTCTGATGGCATGGATCACATCCCTGTACACTACGCCTACAGCTAGAGTCCGAATTAACGGAGCACTCTCCGCACCGGTACACATCCGCAATGGTACCCGACAGGGGTGCCCTCTCTCCCCCCTCCTGTTTGCCCTCTCCCTGGAACCATTCCTGGGGGCGGTCAGGCGGGACGGGGGAATAGAGGGCTTCGTCCTACGGGGTGAGGTACATAAGGTGGCCGCATACGCGGATGACATGCTATTTTTCATCGGCAATCCGCTAGTCTCACTCCCGAATCTTCTGAAGGCCTTCAAGGACTATGGTCAGCTATCAAACCTAAAGTTGAATACGGACAAATCGGAAGCACTCTAACTCTGAGCGCGGACTCCATCGCCCACCTGCGAACACAGTTCGCTTTCACATGGTGCCAAACCAGGCTTAAATACCTGGGGATTTGGCTCCCCACAGATCTCTCCCAGCTTTATGACTACAACTTCGCCCCAATGGCTCAAACCCTGAAAAACGATCTAGCTCGATGGGCGGGCCTGTGCATTGCATGGTTTGGGAGGTTAAACGCAATTAAAATGAATCTCCTCCCCCGCCTCCTATATCTGTTCCAAACCATCCCGATCAACCTCCCGACATCCTTTTTCCACGAAATTGACAAGACAATTTCTAGGTTCGTTTGGCAAGCTAAAGCTCCAAGGTTGAGCAAAGTACACCTTCGCAGACCAAAAGCACAAGGCGGGGTGGGGCTCCCATACATACGGGATTACCATAGAGCTACACATCTGCACCGTATTGTCGACTGGCATACCCCCAGAGATGGGAAGTCATGGATAACCATGGAGACTACACAAATGGAGGGTTCGCTCCCGGCTGTGGTGTGGTTAGATAACCAACACGGAGTTCAGCGAGCCAGGAACCATCCGCTCATCGGTGCAACGTTGAAGGTTTGGCACTCTGTGCGGACTAAGCTCTCACTAACCACCACACCAGGACCACTGACACCGATAACACACAACCCCGCTGTGGCCGGGGGCCTCAAGCCCCAAGACATCAGTGCATTTACGGAGGAAAAATGGTCATATATACAACAATGGTGCTCAACGGACTCGCTGAAACCACTGCCAGAACTCATACGAGAAGGAGCCCCACGAGGCATAGACAGATTCAGATACTTCCAGATTAAGTCATACTATCAATCGCATGCTGGACGCCACCTGTTCCACAGGACTATGACTGAGTTTGAGAAAACATGCACAGCCGGGAGACCGCTACACCGAGGAGTATCTACCATGTACGCTCTGCTACAAACCTCTACCCAACATACACCCCTGAAACACCTGGCGAGATGGGAGGAGGCCACGGGTACGGTACTCACCGACCCCCAATGGGACAAGATCCACATACTGACACATCAGGGCACATTGAGTTCTAAACACCAAGAACTGAACTACAAACTGCTAACGGGATGGTATAGAACGCCAGAGCGCCTACATCGAATGCTACCGGAAATCCCGGACCTATGCTGGAGATGTGAGTCAGAGACCGGCTCGGACCTCCATATTTGGTGGTCCTGCGGACACATCGCCCCATTCTGGAAAAAAATTCATACGCAGATAAAAAACATTGCGGACCCGGACCTCCCTTTCCAGCCAGTGCAAATGCTCCTCCATCACACTGATATGCCTCTCTCGAGGTATAAAAAATCACTCACGAAACAACTCCTCAATGCAGCTAAATTGCTTATCCCGATCCGCTGGCGGACCACGCAAATCCCCACGCTGCAACAATGGATGGAGAAAGTAGAGGAGATCCATGGCATGGAACAGCTTACAGCCTCACTGCGGGGAACAACGGAACGCTATCTACAGACCTGGGCTCCCTGGCTCGAATTTATCTCGGGCAGAACGGCGTAGACACCAGGAATATGGAGCTTCTGCATGATCCCCACAAGAATCACAAGTAAATACATATAGTGACGTGGCAGCGACCCCCAGAGGAACGGCGGACACACTCTTGGCAGAGGAGACTCTGAGGAGGACGGGTTGTGCCGACACAGCGAGCACGACACTGAGGAGGTCTCTCTTCACCCCCCCTACCCTTTAACCCTCTCCCACTTTCCCAACCCATGCTCTCTCTCACATTCGGGCCACACAGGGAACGGATACAATCACACGCTCGCCCCCCCATCCTTCCTCTGTCCCCTACACACACAAATACACATTTATCTAGACACAAACCATCCGGGAAGCAACTCCCGACAGATCATTAGACGACGAATCAGGGAGGGAGCGAGACGGGGGTAAAATCCTAGTCAGACAAGCAGAGGCAACAGAGCTGCGACAAGGAGGCATAATGGACCACAGGACACTGTGACCCAGCTATTTAAACACTGACTTACCAGACCTGGGAAAGGCGGACACCTAACGCACCTCAAAGGCCCAGACTAAGTGAGCGGAAAACTTTGCTGTTCCAGATCCCCATAAAACACGACGTAGAACACGCACAAACAGAGATGGGGGACTTCTCACGAGGACCCCAACCTTGGGGTAACCACTGGCTACTGCCCTAACAGATTCGAACACATAGGTAGCGACCTACCGACCCCTACCCGCTTCATGACGCGTAGTTAGACAAGAAGCAAGGACAAACAGCTGAAAGCTGAATAACATGTGGGACAGGGGGGTTAGGATGGGGAAGTGTAAACAGAAAAGGGTGGACAGCCCACACTAGCCTTCAGCACTAAGGTGCAAGCGTAGTGAGACAAACGAGGGTGACCGCGGAGATGACCCTGGTTCACCTGTCCTTCCAAGGTATAGATATTCCTACATGAATGCATAATAAAAAGGTCTTGTTCACATGTTTTACTGTTGAACCGCATTGCCTGTCTAGTGCAGACTGTTATGTTTATCGAGACAACCTCGAATACTATAACTTCCTGTTTAATTCACTAACAGCACTGTTGTCGATGTTACCGTTCAAACTGGAAATAAAACAATGATTGACAAAAAAAAAAAAAAAATAAAAAATAAAGTACACAGGGGCAGGATAAATCCAAAAATCCTGTATCAGTTGAGAATACCCTAGTGTTTGTGTTAGGCCTGATAACGCTATCGCTGCTTGTTTGAACCTATGTTTGTACTTCTGGAAGATCTACCTGTCAGATAGGTAATGCTTATTATCACTGTTCCTTATACGGATATACTTTTGTGTACCTGATTGTTACATGTTTTCCATTGTTCAAAAGACAAAATTACAAAATAAAGATTGTCCAAAAAAAAAATGTGCAATACCCTCTAATGCCTAACCAATGTAAAACCATGAGAATAACTGCTTACCCTTGCCGTTGTGGCATTGTAAGCCTGATGTGTCTTTTCCTTGCACAAATAAAATAAAGAATAAAAAAAAAAAAAAAATAAGGGAAGAAATTGGACTGAGCAGGCAAGCTTAAAGGGACACTGTAGTCACCAGTGCAACTACATATATTCCTGACCCTATAGTGTTAACACGACCATCTAGCCCCCCTGGGCCCCTCATGCCTCCATAAACATAGTAAAAATCTTTCAAACCCGAAGCTGTAAATCTGCATGCTGTTAGACTCAGGAAAAAAAGCAGTCTGGTGACATGTGATAGCCTGATCCAATCACTGTGCTTCCCCATAGGATTGGCTGACACTGACAAAGAGGCAGATCAGGGCCAGAGCCAGCATGATTCAAACACAGCCCTGGCCAATCAGCATCTCCTTATAGAGATGAATTGAATTAATGAATCTCTATGAGGAAAGTTCAGTGTCTGCATGCAGTGGGAGGAGATACTGAATCACAGGATGCTCGTGCACAGCAGATCTGAGTGGATGGAGGCATATTATTCCTCCATCAACTCAGAAGTCCCTCTGGTTCACTCTGAGTGACTGCAACTGGAGGTGTTCCTAGCTTTCAATGTAAACCCTGTATTTTCTCAGAAAATACAGTGTTTACATGAGAAAGGCTGCAGGGAGCTATAGTTCTCACCTGAACAACCTCATTAAGCTGAATTTGTTCAGGTGACTATAGTGTCCCTTTAAGAAAGGATGGCATAATTTTCTTTGCCAAACAGCTAAAAGTTAAGTTACACCTGAAAAAGAGTAAGATTGTGTTTCAATAGATTGATGGAGGCTTTTCCAGAATTGGACACTTCCACTAATCATTAGAGGATTAATTGTCTTTAGACTTGTATTGCTGCAAAAAAATATAATAAAACACTCAGCCATGTAATATGCATATATTAACATTTAAAGTGGGATTATCCGTATGGCAGAGTTAGTGATAGCTTTAGATAAGTTATTTTTCTCCTAGCCCCATGAGATGATGACATTTTTCCAACTAATTAGTTCTTTCAAATTTATTAAAATCTACAATCATCATATACACTGACAGAGGATCTTTTCGGTTTGAATGGTGTAAAGTTTGATGACATTCATCTCTGGAACAATTCTATGGAATGTTGAATCCAACATCATCAAATATTCCTAAGTATGACTTTGGTCCAGGACAATTCCACTTGCCCAACTACATAGTACAAACTGTTATTTGATGGAGAAAGAATAATAAAGAATTAAGATGTCCCTCTGAAACCAAGTCCATTGCAGGCCTTGACTTGAGGGCCTCTATGCTCCTGTTTTTCTAATTTAACTCTAGAGCATGCAAGGATATTTTAATCCAGACCATCCTTTGTTTAAGGAGATAACCCTTTTTCTGTTTCAAACACGACAATGCCATATGGACAAAGTAATGTCAAGGCGATACATTTCTTTGAGATCATCATGGAAGGATTTAATTAGTGTGAGCTGAGTACCGAGCTCAACCCATCTAATTTCTTTTGAATTATGTGAAACAATGACTACTGTCAGGGCTGTATTACCCAAATCCATTCCCAACCTCATTCATGCTCTTGTTGTATTAAAGCCAATTCCTTTATCAATACGCCATAATTTTCCAGAAATTAAGGCAACTGTTGTAACAGAAAAGGTTGGTTTGGTGAGGTCTGTTAATAAGGTTATCTACAGTTAGCCAGAATCCACCTTTCTTGTTCTTAAACGTACTTCTCAAACGTACTTAAATTTCCTCAAAAGAATTCTGGTGTTTTACCCGTAATGGGGCACACCACCATTCTGTCAAAGGAACAACACAATGAGAGAATGAAAAGGCAGTGTTTACATGAAATTGCCTACAGGGAATGATTATACTCACCACAACAAATACATTAAAGGACCACTATAGTGCCAGGAAAACATAGTCGTTTTCCTGGCTCTTTAGGGTCCTTGGGTCCCCCTCACCCCCTGGTTCCCAGCCCCCCTCCTCCCCCCCCCCCGCCAGGCTGAAGGGGGAGGAAGGGGTTAATCCCTTACCTTTTTTCCAGCACCGGGCTCCCTCGGCGCTGGGAATCTCCTCCTCCTTTCCCGTCATCGGCTGAATGCGCATGCGCAGCAAGAGCCGCGAGCGCATTCAGCCAGTCTCATAGGAAAGTATTCTCAATGCTTTCCTATGGATGCTGGCGTCTTCTCAGTGTGAGAAACGCGGAAGCGCCTCTAGGGGCTGTCAATGAGACAGCCACTAGAGACTGGATTAACCTATATGTAAACATAGCAGTTTCTCTGAAACTGTTATGTTTACAGCAGGCAGGGTTACAGGGTTATGTTTACAGCAGGCAGTTCATTGAGCTGAAGTGGTCTGGGTGCCTATAGTGGTCCTTTAAGCTGCTATAGTTGTTCTGGTGACTATAGAGTCCCTTTAAATTCTACATGCTATTCTTTGTTCCCTTTGCTTGCAAATGTGTGTGGTCTCCACTGCAGCCTCCTCTCAGACTGATGCTGAGATGAAGCTGCACGGAAATATATTTTTGTGTTATTGTGTAAATCAGGTAAACCTATAACCCAACCTCACATTTTTATTTACAATATAAATATATAAACCGTTCCTTCCACACTCTGTAGTCATTTCCCAATAATAAGAAATATAGTTTTTTAAACCTAAATGTCAAGAGATCCAAAAAGAGAAGGCCATAAAATGTATAACACAGACCAATCAGTGATACACACAAATCTAGTCAATCACTTATTTTCTTTTTATCGTTATCAGTACATTAAATTTCCAGTTAGGAGCTAATTTTTCAGGTGAATTTGTCTGAGCAGGTGGACAGGGGGGAGAGTTTGATCTTTAAGCATTTGTTTTGTATTGAGCAATTTCACTTTAATTTGCACAGAGTTTTCATTACAGCCGAGCCAAGAATCCGTTTTCAAATGGATTTCTGTCCACTTTTATCTCAACAGTCGTGATGCTTTTTCTCCTGGGATGGAAAACAAACTTGCCAGGTCTTGTCTTTCAGACATACATCTACTTAAACTCATCAGACTTAACCGGCAAGTTGTTGCTTCAATGTGCAAGTCTCATCGCCCTTCGGCTGTCTGTTTGAGGGTGCTGGGAGTAGTATTTTAAGAAAGAGCCTGCAATCAACTGAAAAATTTACTCACTTAAATTTTTGGTTGATTTGTTAATTTATTTCCTTAGTTTTTCCAGAATATATTAAAAATACATGCTGCTCTCCTAAGTCGGCTGTCTCTGCTGACTTGTAAGTGAGTAACAAACTTTTTTTTTTAATTTATCAATTTAAAAGGAATGCATTAACATTTTACCACTGCACAGCTACTTAGTCTGATTTAATCCATCAGGTCATCTGATCTCTGGCTAGTAACTATGTCTCTTGAACTCTCTTGTTAGGATTAAATGTGCAAAATTTGGGGAAAATCTCAGGACTGTATTTGAAATTTGAAGTTCGGGGATTCACTAAAGGCATTTTAGGGTACAATTTGTTTACTAAAAAAATATTCCCAAAATGCATACAAACTACAGAATTCAGACATTTATCAAACATTGTTTCATTACCACCAAGTTTGCACAATTATAGGTACATGCCTCCAGAGGCACCACAAAAATACCCAAGAGTTAACCCCAAATAATAATATCCCAAATTACTTCCTTCCCCCAAAAAAACTGAGGGGTGGCAAGGCAGGCATTTTTTTTCTCTCTTGGCCCAGCCACAGGCAAGTGGTAGAGCTGTGTTGGTTGGTGGGGAATATGAGCTGGCAGAGTGAGTTTTGCACCTTGTGGCCCGTCACTCTCTACAGAGTCAGAGAGCAGCTGTCAAATATTCCCAGCTTGCGCTTTGACTTGCTAAGTGTTGAACTGCGAGGGAGTGCTTACTAATTAGCATCGGCCAGTGGTGCCAACCTCATGCTCCCCTACTGGACCCTCAGGAAGAGATAACCCATGCGGGATTACCAGGACAGGACTTTTTAGGCAGGGTATAGGAACTGGTTGATAATATTTATTAACCAACTAATGTATGACTACACAATGATAATTTGCATTTTAATTAGGGAGATTTGTCAATAAAGTTATTTAAAATTAGGCTTGATCCAATTTTATTGATCTTACTACCCAAACAGTATTATTTACAATGCTGTAATTATTAGTCCTTAAATGCTACATGCTTTTCTTTTTTTCATTTGTTTGCAGCCTCCTCTCAAACTGATGCTGAGAGAAAGCTGCACAAAGCTGCACAAAAAATGACCCCCGTTGGATTATAGCCCCCCTACATCATAGTCTCCCTAGATCATAGTCTCCCATACTTGCACTCTGCATATACTCATATGTACTGCACACTGCCTGCACATGCCCCATGGTCTACCTTTTACTTCTGGGCCAAAGAACAGGCACCATCTGACAAGTGTCATAATTCCTTTATATGTCTGCTGCCCAGGTGTCTTGTGGACATTTGTCATGCACAGGTTATCTTGTTTTCACCACCTTCTCTGGTCTGTGCTACTAAAATGGCCTTTACTGCTCTATCTGCTACAAAGATTTGGTTGCATATAGCGTCAAGAGTAGCTTTTCTGTACAAAATATGGCTTCTCTACACAAAGAGAATTGTTCGTGTCACTTCTGATTATAAGATTTAGGCAAACAGAGGCCTAGGCATCAAGCAGTCAAAGCTATAGGTGCAATATTCATATATTTATCTGTAGGGATTTCTATTTATAGAGATCTGTGTCTTTAAAATAAAATTTACCTTCTAAATAAACATCATAGAACAACACTGTTCAACTAGCCCCACGAGAACTGTCTGTCCTGCCAGTTCGGAAATTTATTTAATTAACATTCAGTTAATTAACAAAATTTGCTGTGTGCGTTACTAAGCCTTAATTAATGACATGTTAATTAAATATATTATAATATTGCGTCTAGATACTTTGGATCGCCTTGTAATCAAGCATTAATATCAAATGTTATTCCTCTGCTGGGTTATTTACCAGTGTCAGCAAATACCTAATTCACAGTATCTGAGTTAGATCAATTTATTTATTCTAGCTGCCATTTAATCCGTGTATCTAATGTCACATCGTTATACTTTATTTTCCTTCTTTGTTTGCACATTTGGCGAGTTATATGGTTTTCTTTATTCATAACTTGCAAACTATGGCATCAATGTATTGGAATTTGAATTATTTTTACATTTATTAAACTGTGTACTCTTCTTTTAAAGAAAATTGTGTAATTTTCCTACTTTATGAGTATTTAACCAACATTTTTGGGGTTTTCTCCAATACATATACCCATCAATGGTTGTGGAGCTGGGAACTTTATGTCATATTGTGGTTCTATCTATCTATCTATCTATCTATCTATCTATCTATCTATCTATCTATCTATCTATCTATCTATCTATCTATCTGTCTGTCTGTCTGTCTGTCTATATGCAAATACTGGATTATGATACATCTACTGGCAGAGCCTTGTGAAGTTTTGCCTTCTCAGCATATCATGTGTGAAAATATGTTTACCATCCTACATTTTTTGGCTAGGAATAGCCTTCTTATTGTAAATATGTCTTTAATCTCATTTTTAGAGACAGATACAACAAAACATTCCAGGAGCTCCCAGGGCTCTTATCTGGTAGACAAAACATTTGAAACAGAACACACAGGTCACAAATCAGATAAAAAATATATAACAGTAGTGTGAGGCATACTCAGATTTCCATTTCCATGTTGAACCTAGACACTCGCCCCCTTCCTCCTGGATTTGGGTATACAGGAACCAAAACAGAAAGGGTAATGGGAAATAAAATAGGAAAAAGGGGGAAGGAAAAATAAAAGAGGGAAGAGAAGACGAGAAAGTGATATGATCCATAGTCAAACTACAAGCCGAAGCCAAATCGTACCCAGGAGAGAGACACTCCAACATGTCCATGACTCTGTTAAGGTTAGGCCGGTATTTTAGCAGTGCAGCCGGTATCTGAGGCTGCATGGCCGGTGCTGGTAGGCAATACAGATTCAGGTATTTTTTCCTGATTGAAATTGGACTGCAATATCTGCGCCAGCCAGTATGGGTCGCTGTGTGGATAGAGGCAGTGATAGGAGTTACATCATCTCTCTGCCTTTCTCTACTCACTGAATCCGCGGGGGAGCAGCACAGACAGTGCAGCCAGCAGCTCCCAGCCTGCAGTGACAGCCTACAGATCAGGTAAGTGAGGCATGGGAGGGACACAATTTGGAGCACAGGATCCACTCAGAAAAAAATCCCAATCCAGTAACATGGACTTTACATTCCTTATTATCTAGATTCTAGGACTTGAACATTCTGTTTATGGAAACCAGCTGGGAATCATCAGTTTCAGAATTATAGAAAATAATTTGAAACCTTGAAGGAGCGTGGAAAACTCAGCATTCAGGACTTCATGTATGAGGTCGTAGTAGTAGGATGTAGACCCTGTGTATCAAGGTGTCTGTCTCTGTGTTTGTATATGCCAGTGTGTGTATCTGTGTGTGAGTGTGTATGAATCTGACACACAGATACACACACTGGCACATAGTTGCACACATATACACACACCTTGACACATGTATGTATCTGTTACACACACACACACACACACACACACACACACACACACAGCACCCTCTCACACACACACACAGCACCCCTCACACACACCCAGCACCACACACAGTCTGTCTGTAGTCAGCAGTCAGTCAGTGTGTGTATCCATCAGTCAGTGTGCGTGTACTCCGCAGTCAGTCAGGGTGTGTATTCAGCAGTCTGTGTGCGTGTATTTGGCAGTCTGTGTGTGCGTATATTTGGAAGTCTGTGTGTGCATGTATTCGGCAGTCTGTATGTGCGTGTATTTAGCAGTCTGTGTGTATGTATGTATTGCACTTGTTGAATGTATAATTTACATTTTTATTCAGTTGTTGTGTAGGCAGGGCCCCAGTGCCCATAATGCTGTTAAGATGGCACTTGTCAGGCCAGCATCAGCATGGAGATGGAGGAAGCTTTGCATTTAGTGCACAACAAAATCACAGTTGTTATAGTGCATAATTAATCCGTTGAACTTGATACCGTTTTGTTATACTTGTGCAATGGCTACAAACGTTGGCGTCTCACAAAAGGGAAATCCAAACACAAAAGAAGAAGCATCACTGAGGAAGCTTCTCCTGCAATTGTTTGAATTTCTCTTTTTGCAATGCTCAAGTTTATAGAGGCTGCAACAGCGTAGATTTCCTCCATCGTTTGCAACTAAAGCAAACGCCAGTACATGAAATACGTAACTCCCATAATACTGTTTTTACTCTGATTTGTAAACTATAGATATGGCACGTGTCCCCTCTCAATATGTTTGTGTGTACATTTACATATATATATTTATTTTAAAAAAAATTTTTATTGTAAGAGTTAGTGGTGGAAGTTTTGATTGTGGTATTTTATGTACCCTCCCTATTTATTATTCCTAGAGTCTCCACTGCAGAAGAATAGACATCTGGGGTGGCATAGAAGGAGAGATACAGATGCGGTTGGCATAGAAGGAGGGACATTGATGGGGTGGCATAGAAGGAGAGACACTGATGCGGTTGGCATAGAAGGAGAGACATTGATGTGGTGGCATAGAAGGAGAGACATTGATGGGGTGGCATAGAAGGAGAGACACTGATGCGGTTGGCAAAGAAGTAGAGACATTGGTGCGGTTGGCATAGAAGGAGAAATTCCACCCCATCAATGTCTCTCCTTCTATGACACCCCCATCTGTGTCTCTCCTGCTATTCCACCGTGGAATAGCAGGAGAGACACAGATGGGAGTGTCATAGAAGGAGAGACAATTATATATATATAATTGGAATTAACAGATAGAGCTTTATATGCTTTGCTCCTCATTCTATAACATGATCACTCCTTATACTGACTGTATATCTGTGCATGCATTGCCAAATGTAAGATAATTTTCCTCCAAGAGTCATAATGTACTTCTTCGAAAGTCTGTTATTATGTCATTATGCAAAATAATGGGGTTCACAATCTTCAGTCTACATACCTTTGGCAGTTGTCTCAGTTTGGACTCCCAAGACCTCTGTCTTTTGGTTTATTTTCAAGTTAATGCTAAGAACCCTGCAATTCACTCACCACACTCTATGACTTACATTTCGCAACAAGGCTAAGTATGATTATTTGATTTGGATTCATTTAGAAAAATATAGTAAATTATATATATTATATTTTCAAACCCATAATTTGCATCCTGAAACACCATAATTTCTACAAAAACACACACACATTTTCTACTTTATGCTCTGTCATTGTATATATTCATTTTAATGCAAAATTGTCTTTTTTTAAGAGTGCATTTTTCTTTTCTTTCTCTTTGTAAGTTTAAAACATTGTTATTTGTAGAAACAAAAATTAAAAACAAAGAAAATAACAACGGAAATTGGGGTTATTCACTAAAATGTCCCCCCACCCCCAATCTGGATTAGAAAAAATAATAACATGATTTTGCTATTTCATGACGAAGAGTCATGATTTTATGAAAGACACGGAGGCTAGTACTGCTTAATTCTTTCTTTACTGTCCACCAATAGCAGCAAAGAACACAAATAGAAAAAATAGAACGTATACAGTGAGACACCAGCCAATCCCCATCCAAGTCCCAGTATAACAGCAAACACCGCCTCTAAAGCTTCCTCTTTCTTTGGAGATGCGACATATCACGTGGAGAGACATAAAACAGGAATCAATAGAAAATCCCAACATCTGAAAAACACGGTAACAAAATACAGTGAATGCCAGTCCACGGAACTTCTCAACCGGAAACTTCAAGACAGTAACGGAAACACACCGGGAAGAAGTGAGGACCATCGAGTAACAGCGAATCAAGCTGTGAAAACACAAAGAACAGGAGCCTAACGGTTAAATCTGTACTAAAACCAAACTGCAAATGCCAATACACATGAATCCCACAAATAGCCGGTCGTATTACAAACAGTGCAAACCCACCATATAAAAACATGAAAAAATCGAACAAGGACACTAAATAAATACAACATAATACCTACCGCACCCTGGAATCCCTATATGAGAAAAAGTCAGCAGGGAGGGATAAAACAAGGTAAACAAACTCAGAAGGGTGGGACAATACTCACCTCCATGTCTTTCATAAAATCATGACTTTTCGTCATGAAATAGCAAAATCATGTAATTTTATGTAAAGACACAGAGGCTCATATTGCAAGTTTAAAGCTGACCAACAACCAACGAAAAAATGTGAGAGACAGGCTGAAAATAAAATTAGCAAAATGTGGATTTACGCGACCAACCCGCCATCCTCATCAAATCTTCCAGATGTGCA